AGCACAAATCATGCTGTTGAATGGAGAATTCAATTGAGAGTATCACCTGTTTTTAAAATTTTCTAGCTCTCATGGTTGCAAAGGTATCAAAAAGCATGTAGACAATTCCTAGAAGCCAGAGAGGAATATGAAAAAGAGTCCCAAAAGATGAAATAGTCTGGAATATTATACTCCCTGGGACAAGAGTTTTATGTATTTTTAATTGTTTTACTTAGCTCTTTATTTATCTTTTATTATAATTATTTTTCCAGCTGATTTACATGTTGCAAACAACATTTTCTGGGTTTTTAAATGGAAATATGGAGTGTAAATAAGGGTGCAGTCCAGTGACCCCCATTCCCAATGTATGTGAGCATCTGAACTTGGAGTCATATCAGTTTCCAATGAACTGAGCAAGGCACAATGGCAATTGCCACTACCACCTTGCCTCACATCCTGGTTTTTAGCTAGGCTGCTGTCTAGATAAGTACAGGGGAGCGAAGGAGACTGGAGCACCCATAGGAATCAATGTAGTTAGATGTCCTCAGCTTTCCCCACTCCCACCTGCCAACACATTCCCCTTTCCCTTTCCAAGGCTTATTTGCATCTTTGAAGAGACAGCTGGCACGGTTCTTTCTATGCCAGCTGCAAAGGAGCTGAAGAAGGAACTCAGTCATTGGAGTCTCAGCACCAAGGTTGCTGGAGCTCTGAGAAACGCTACAGTCCCCCGAGACTAAGTCAGGAGGCTACAGGAACGTGGTGTAGATGAATTTCAGTACTTTGCATGACATATACCCCACAATTAACAAAAGTAAAATTGTGCAAAAATAAGAAACCTGCAGGATTATGCAAAAGACAAATTATTATTTGCCGTAAGTATTGCATAACAATAAGTATTATTTATTGCATTAAGTACTTATTGCATAACAATAAGTATTAACAATATAAGTGTTATTGTTATTAAGAATGTAAGTATTATTGCATAACATTTACGTTCTATCTGCATAATTTATATAAACACTAGAATTCACCATTGCTTTGTACAGGATTTTGACTGTTGGGGCACAAAACATACATACATGTATACAGTCCTCATTAACAAGCTATACAAATTGCATCATACCTTGAACAAAACACAATAAAATAAAAAAAGCCTCTTACTGGTTCTTCTACTTCTCCTGTAGCATGTTGAGCTTCTGCTTGTAGATCAATTGGTGGGGCATCTTCTACAATTCTCTGCACAGACATCTGAATGAACTCATCAAAAGAATCCAGCTGCTGTCGTACCAGGCCTTTTTCATCAAAATAGGAGCTTTAAGACAAAGTTTAGAATCAGCTAAATAATGAAAATTATCAGTGCAAACTGTCACATTAATGTATTCAAGATACTTCAGACTTTATCACCATGTATAATGTTAGAGAAAATATTCCTTCCTGTATTTAACAAAAAAGGAAAAGTATTTTCTTAGTCAATTGCCATATATTTTTAAATAAGTAACTGATTTTTTTTTTAACCAACTGGTAAATCAGTAACCTTTTTAACTGATTAAAAAACATTAAATTTTAAAAAACTGATCAATCAATATTACAGCCTTAGTTACGAATATAAAAACTCATCCAAGAACCTTTATTAAACTGATGCTGGCCGGGGATGATAAAATTAGTAATCCAACACTTCTAGAGGGCCTCAGTTTCAGAAAGGCTAACAATTCTCCCACATGTATACTCACAAGAAGACAGAATATATTTCATGCCTATGGCCTAGATGAACCTTCACTGAAAACTCATAGCATAAGAAAGTTCTAGTATATAACAATGCAGAACATTCCCCAGCAGATCACAGAGCCCAGTTCTTTGCACTCTGCAACTACAAGATCTTTTCCAACTCCACTGTTTCAGATCATTTTAACAAACAGTATTGAAACTGGGGCCTTCTCTATGCAAGGCATTTATTCCATGTTCATCTCTGAGGAAAGGTTGATTTTTTTTCCTCTCAATTGCTTCTAGCAAAATAAGACAAGTGCTGGAGGAGAGAATCATATGATCAGAAAAGCCTGCTCCAGGAACTACACTAGCCATAAGAAACCCTTGCACATTCTGCAAGTGGTTCTTGCCCATTCATACCATGTGGCAAGCAAATAGTGGTGTCTCGCCAGCAGATAAGGATCAAGAGATTTAGGCACAGCAACCCTTAGTAAAAGCATGGTGAGGAGCAAATGTATTAAAGTAATGAATCATGGTAACAAATAAAGAAGTGTCCATGCAGAGATGCAAAACTATTTAAGATATTCAGCTATCAGCCCTATGAGTCCTGCTGCAAGCACCTGAAATTAAATACAGAGGCATTCACATCAAATATACAGTGAAACACTAACCTTTCATACCAAGTCTACAGTTGACATGGTTTTTAAACAGCAAGATAAAGTAATTGGTTACATACAAATTGTGGTCCTACAGTATGAGTAAATTGTTCTAAAATTAAAAACTCTCTTGAGTATCACCATTTGGAAAGTGCTGCTTTATATTTGCAGATCAAGAAAGATTGCTGCATGCTATCTTATATCTCAGTCAAATTCATAAAGTTTGTACTAAGACAAGACACAGTCCAGCCAAAGTTAAACATTTTAAGGCTGCACATCTACGCATGAATGGAGCATACTATGGAGCATACTAGAACTTACTTTTGAATAATAATATAAAAGTTTAATTGAGACTAGATCCAATCAAATTTAGAAAACTACCTGATGACAATCCAGCATGCTTCCTGCCACAAGTCCGGAGTGATTTCATCATCATCCTCATCATACTGCATATCTGCCCCCCCACCACAAAAAAAGAGAAAAAGAAAGACCAATCATTTCCACTGTAGTTTCTGTAAACCTTACCATGCAAAAGTTTGCACAAAAGTCACAGGGGTAATCCATTTCAGGTAGTTTACATTTTAAAAACTCTGCAACAGATAAACTAAAATGACAAAAGTTCTGACGGAGGTCTTTCCCAGCCTGACTATTCAAGATCCCCAAGGAAATTGAATCTGCAACCTTCTACATGCAAAGGATTAGACTCTGTCTTACACTATTAGTATGATTTTGCAGAAAGGCAATTTATGTCAGTAATTGTGATATTACCACAATACTTTACACAATCCTATGCAAATTCACCTGAAAGTAAGCCCCACTGGATACAATGAGATTTGTTTCCAGGTAAACAAAGGACTGATCTGTAAGACAGCTTTTCCTGTAACTACAGAAACACTTAACAGCTCTTCAAAAAGCTTGTATTTTCTTTTCAATTCTGTTGTATGGTAGTTGAGAAGACGACAACAGCTACACACGGTTCATTTTTTCATACAACATTATTATGAGGTCAATCCATTTAACGTGTCTGTTTAAAGGGGGTGGGATCCACACTTGCAAACCCTTTTATGTCCAGCATCCTTGTAAAGGTGCTGTAAGAATTGGGACTGTGTTGTTAAAATATTTCGAAGGAAGCAGTCGTGCTATTAAGCAGCCTGGGGAGATCACACGCTACGACTTTCCTACAGCCTTTAAGAGCTAATAATGACATCAGGCGAAACCACCACAGCCAGCGACGGGCTACCTCTCCCGCGGGGCTTTCCTCAGGCAGGGACTCACCTTCATCGGCGTCGAACATCTTGTCGAAGGCGCCTCACGGCAGGTCACAAACCCTCCACGAAGAGAACTCGCGCGGACTCGCCACACGATACCGACAGCGACAACACCTCCCTAAGGTAGAACGAACCGACTCCCACTACGCCTGCGCACAGCTCACACTTCCCGGCCACTTCCTTCCCTTAGCATGTCACTTCCGTTCGCACTGCGATTGCGCAAAGACTACTGGATTCCCCATAGAGATCGGCCTGTGAATGTGTGGCACTCTCGCGCCAGCGCAGTAGATCGAGCGATAAACACGTGGCTGCCTGAGCGTGTATTGCGCGAGCGCCGCAGATGCTCTGCTTCCCCCGTCCTGTGCGATTTCGGCTATGTATCTCTAGGCAGAAAAACAAATTCAAGGCCTTCCAGAGGTTTAATCATGCATAGGATTTTGCCCTATGAAAAGCATAGTTTTCAGGGTAGTAGTCGGTGAGCTGATTAATCATGGCCTGAGCTTGGCCGGGAATTATGGGAGTTGCGGTCCAAAACGTCTTCAGCGCACTAGATTGGGAAAGGCTACTCTTAACAGCTGTTTGTGCATAAACCTTCGTGGGCTGCAGTGCAGTCTGAACTGAAGCTTATGACATTCCAAACGTGCTTGTTTTAGGTTCCAGTTTGATTGGGATCTCTGCTTTACCGTACTAAATTGTAAAAGGTAACATGTCTACATACAAGGGAATAGTGCCTTAGCTTTGGGAGTTGCAATTTAGCTGGATTGAGCTTTACTAAAATTCGAAGCATATTCTGTGCGATCTCTTGTGCTTTGATGATTTTCAACTGGAATGTGATTATTTCAGAGAGTTCAGACACGTGGCCAGTATGAGCAAAAGGCCTTTATTGCTAAAAACTTCCATATTCTACTGTGTCTCTTCCATCGCCTATCTGTATCTTAATACTAATACGTGCACTAGTAATATTGCACTGAAGGCTTGCATCCGTGACAATGTATTTCACCCATAAAGATCGTGTAGATGAAGCTGCACAAGCCACTGCCATCCTCATACGACGTGGGAACTCCATCGCTTCTGTAGAGTGATCCCGCAACCTTTGGTTCTTCAAAGAAAGTCCTATGGAATTCATTGTGGCCTGCATGTTTACTTGTAAACTAGTTCCGAGGTTACTAGGGCTTACTCTGAGGTAAGCGCACACAGGAATGCAGCTTTCAAGTTCGAAATAGGAGGCAACGGTTGACAAAGGAAGAGCGCCGCGCTCCCGCTTTGGCGACGCATCCCTTTCTCCGAAAGGGGGCGCGTGCGGCCGGAGGACCGCGAGCCTGGGCCCGCTCTGGGCGGCCCGCTTACTCGTCTCTCCTCACGCGCGCCTGCGGTTAATTGTCCCTTTGCTGCACGGGGCGATGAACGGTCTCCGGCGGGCTTTGTTGCTCGGCTTGCCCCGCCTGCGAGGTCGACCGCTTCTGGGGTCCGGCGGCGGCGGCGCGAGCGTGTTGTCTCGGCGTTTCGCAACCAGCGATCTCTGGCGCTGGCAGACAGCGGCGATAGCGCTGCACGAGGGGCAGGAGGAGGAGTTCGTCTTTCCCGAGTACCTACCTGAAAATCCGGACGCTGAGAGGAAGCAGTTGGCGCCCGAGAAGGAACATGCGCAGCCCCGAGAGGCCAAGAGCGAGGTCCTGCCGGAGCGGACACGGAGCGAACGGCTACGGCAGCGGCTGCAAGAACGGCGCCGAAAGGCAGCAGGAGGGGAACACAAGGTGTCGGGGCGGCCCGACCCGTCGGTGCCGACGAGCGGAGTGAGCTGCTCGGGCTGCGGCGCGGAGTTGCACTGCCAGGATCCTGCCGTGCCGGGGTACCTGCCTAGCGAGAAATACCGGAGTCTGGTGGGCCTTCAAGAGCCGCAGCTACCCCAGGAAGAAGATGGTGTTGGGCCGAAGGATCGGGAGCCCGCCGAGGAGTCAAGCCAAAAGCAGCAAGCGCTGAAGGACGCCCGGTGCCAGCGCTGCTGGCTCTTGGTGCATCACAGGCGGGCCCTGCAAGTGCAGATGCCCCGGGAGGAGTACCACAACGTGGTGAGCTCCGCTCTGCGCAGCCCCCCTCGCCATGGCCGCCCACACCTGGTGCTCTGTATGGTGGATCTTCTGGACCTGCCAGACTCAATCTTGACTGACCTGCCCGACCTGGTGGGGAGCGAAGCCCACATCTTCGTGCTGGGCAACAAGGTGGACCTTTTGCCTCGCGACTCCAACAATTATCTGAAGCGCCTGCAAGAGCAACTGAGGGCGATGTGTGCCAGGGCTGGCCTTCTGGAGAGCGGGAACCAGCGTGTAGTTGACGTGCACCTCATCAGTGCCAAGACAGGCTATGGTGTAGAAGAGCTGATTTCTAAGTTGCAGCGCTCCTGGAAATTCAATGGGAATGTGTTCCTTATTGGAGCCACCAACAGTGGAAAGTCTACCCTCTTCAACACTCTCTTGCACTCAGACTACTGCAAGTCCAGAGCCTCAGAAGCGATCAACAGGGCAACAATCTCGCCTTGGCCAGGTCAGCAGGAATTGGGAGACTTTGCTAACTGCAAATTTACTCTTTGAACCTATGCAGGGGAGCCCACACAAGAGTGATTATGCAGTTATGCTTGAGTTCCTGAGTGTAAGTCTAGGGATGTTGGAGGTGACCCAGCATAGACCAGTACTGGTTCCAAACATACATTTGGCTGGGAGCTGTCCATGCAGCTTGCACAGATGCAGTTTGCACTGTCATGTGGCGACCAAAGACCAACAAAAGCATGGGGTTTTGTAGGAAAGCGCATTTGATGAGGTAAAATAGGCTTTTACAACAAACAAACCCTTATGCCACAATAAACTTGTTGATCTTTTAAGTTGCCATAAGACCCTTAGGACAAAATCTTATGTATGTTTAGACAGGAAAAAAATCCTGCACTTCCTAGCATGGGAGTTGAAGAACTTTCTTTGGTCTAAATATGTGCAAGGTTTAATATCTAAATACATGTAGGGGAGTAAAAGAATGTCTAGATATGTGTAAGGGAGTATTTTTCTATTTGTGCTGTCAGTAAGACACAAATGACGTGAATGCTTGGTGTGGCAGCAGCCAGGCAGCTTCTCAGGACTTCCTTGCAAAGCTGCTTTGTCTCATGTTTGTGGAGGGATTCCTGTTCCTGTTGCAGGTAGCCAGATCCTACAATATATGGTGTGTCATTTTTTTAACTATTCACATACATATGTTTCTATCTGATATTAGTCCTACTTAGAGTCAACTCATTTCAAGGACTGAGACTCCCATCCATTTCTGTGGGTTTATCCTAAGGACTAATGTTGAAGATAGTCCATAGAATGATCCCTCTCAAGTTCATGCATGCACACATGTGGAGTATTAGGGTTGACCAATAGATTGCACCATAACAAAATTGTCACATTCCTTTGGTTCTTAAATTATACCTAAAAAAAACCCCATCAGGATTTAATGTTGTACTTTCACAAGTTACTGAGATTGGCCACTTAATAAGAGATGTTTGCTGTTGTTGCATTTCCTTCAAAGGTAAATAGAACACTAGAAATTATTAAATAATATTATTTTTAATGCTACGTAAAGCTGGGCCTGGAACATTGTGTTATATTAAGGAGGGGACAACAAAAACAGAAAAGATCATCCAGTCTTTGTTCAGCCCCTTAATATGCTACCAACACAACTGAATTAAGTGCTGCAGTGATGTCACAGTTAGTTATGTTATCTTCTCTATGAAGGACATTCTAAATTGCTTTTAGTGGACACTTCCTAAGGTCATGGTTGATGTAAGATTTAAACTGAAAAGTTTTTACAGGCCTATGAATTCACTTACTGAATTAATTGTCACACCACAATTGTTTTCTTTTTGATAATGTAGCAGTTAGATTTAATAGTTAATTATTGATAGTTTGTACAAATCACAATTTCTTGTAATTAGATAGTAAACTGCTGTTCATGACAACAGGGAAAAGGCGGAGGTGCTCAATTCCTACTTCACCTCAATCTTCCCCCACAAGAAAATCTACAACGAAGAGGAAGTACAAGCTGAAATGGCAGCCCAAGATTGGCAGACAAATGGTCAAGGAATACCTAAATGGAATATACATGTTCAAATCTCCAGGGCCCAATGAACTCCATCCCCAAGCCATAAAAGAGCTAGGGGAGGAACTCTCAGAACCACTGACTGTAATCTTCAATAAATCTTGGAAAACGGGAGAAGTGCCAGATGATTGGAGAAGGGTGATTAATAAAATGCAGTATTTAATAAAAGCCAACATGTATTTATCAAAAATAAACCCTGCCAGACTAATTTAATCTCATTCTTGACTGGGTAACCTCCCATATAGAAAACTGTGGACATAATCTACCTAAACTTTAGCCAAGCTTTCAACTTAGTGCTCCACAATATTCTGATAAGCAAATTAGCAAAAAGTGGACTAAATAGAAAAGCTAGTAGGTAGATCCACCTGCTGAATCAGACACAAAGAGCACCTTTTCAAACTGAAGTGAAGTAACTAGTGGGGGTTTCACAGCATTCTGTCCTAGACCCAGTGCTCTTCAACATCTTTATTAATGATTTAGATGAGGAGATACAAGAAAAGATAATCAAATTTGCAGACAGTACAAACTGGGTGGAATAGTGAACACCCTAGAAGACAATGAAGATCCAGGGCAGTCTTGATAAACTTGAACGCTGGGCTCAAAGCAACAGAATGAGATTCTTAAGGACAAGTGCCAAGTCCTCCACCTAAGAAGAAGAAACTGAATGCAACAATATAAGATGGGAAATTCATGACTCAATAGAACTGAAAAAGAGGAAGACCTTGAAGTTATTGTGAACAAGAGGCTAAATATGAGCCAACAATGTGATGCAGCTGCAAAAATAGCAAATGCTCTTTTGGGATGCATTAACAAAAGTATTACTTCCAGATCACAAGAAATAGTAGTATCCCTATACTCCTCACTAGTCAGATTTCATGTGTTTGGTTCTGGGCACCAAGATTTAAGAAAGATGCAAAAAAAAAAAATAGAGTCCAGAGGAGGGCAACAAAAGTGACCCAGAGTTCTGAAACACTGCCCTATGAGGAGAGACTGGGAAAACTACGTATGTTCAGCCTTGAGAAAAGAAGATGGAGGGAGGACATGATATCACTCCATAAGTACCTCAAAGGCTGTCACAAAGATGGTGAAGAGCTCATCTCACTGATACCAGAGCGAAGGACATGGAATAATCAATTCAGGTTGCAACAAGCCAGATTCAGGCTAGATACCAGGAAGACTTTCCTCGTGGTCAGACCAATACGACAATGGAACCAGTTGCCCAGAGAGGTCGTGGGCTCTCCCACACTAGAGACATTCAAAAAGAAGCTTGACAGCCATCTGAGTGGGATGGTATAAATTGGTATCCTGCAATAGCAGAGGGTTAGACCCGATGGCCTTCATGGCCCCTTCCAACTTTACTATTCTGTGATACATTACAAACTACAACTGGCAGTTTTGCATTTCTTCCCTATGTTCATGGAAGATGAAAGAGCCAAAAGCTTGCTGCTCTTCCTGAATGCAATTGCAAACATATTTTGAATGCTATCTGGCTTATGTGAAGTTCAGCCCATATTATGATACTTCTTATGGCGGAATTTATTTATTTAAAACATGTTTATCCTGTCTTTATCTGAAATGGATCTCAGACGGAATGTGTCTGAGACATAAGTGGCTTGGATAAAGTACCTAATAGGGTCAGGGTTGATGATTTGGGCTGGTAACTCCTTGGCTTATGATTACATCATACCTTTTCTACAAAAGGCATGATCGCAAAAAGTGATAAATATTAGAAGATTTTGCTGTCTGTTTTCTGAGTTTCCTAGCATATCACCATTTTATCTAAAACTCTGGCTGACACTTCCCTAGGACTGCAGACTCTAGCCTCTTTCATTGATCAGAAAACAAAGAGTCAGAGGGAGGCTGTACCCCTTCCCAGGAACAACATGTTGTCAAGGGAGACGTGAACCTAGCTCCATATTTTGCCTAGAGAAGAAACAGTTGCAAGGAACTTGTTTTAACCTTCCTTGCTAGTTTTTTAAAAATTACTGTATAGTTATATCCTGTCCTTTTTTCTCTTGGGGAACGTGAGTTCATGTCTTCTCCATTTGTCCTCACAAGAACCCTGTGAGGTAGCTTAGACTGAGAGTCAGCAGCTGGCCCAAAGTCGCCAGTGAGCTTCATGGTTGAATGGAGACTAATATCCAGATCTCCTGAGTTCCAGTTGAGCACTCTCAGCACTACACCACACCAGCTCTAAGAGCTTTGAAACTAATTGGTCCTTGAATTTAGCTTTCCCCCTCCCTCAAGCATTTAGGTTAGGGCAGGAACTGTCATTAATTTTTGCAAGCTGCCTTAGAAACATTGTTTGGCTGAAGAGCTGGGTAAAAATGCTAGAAAGACAGACAGAAAAATTGTCTTTACAGCTGCTCAGTCTAAAGAGTCTCTGGATGCTAGCAAGAGCTTTGAGCCTCATGGAAGTGTTAAGGACATGCATCGCTTTGACCTACCATGAATCTTCACATTCTGAATGTGTTTAGTGTAAACAAACTATACTAATTACAGATGTATGTTTTTCCCCCTAGGAACAACCTTGAATCTGCTGAAATTTCCAATTATTAATCCTACACCGTACAGAATATTCCGGAGGAAAGAAAGATTAAAGGCAGATGCAGAGAAAGCAGAGGAAGACCTCAGTGAGGATGAACAGGAACAGCTTAATAGACTCAAAAAGCAAAGCTACTTAGTAGGTGTGTGTTTTCTGGGAATTATATAACTACTACAGCACACAAATATTTGATTGGTCCTTATTTTATAATATTTGCTACAGTTTCTAGTAGGGATGTGTAGATTTGGCAAAAGCCTGAGCAGAAGTGATCCCCTGCAGGCCATTTCTGTTGCTTCCCAAAGTGAAACAGGCTGCCTTCCAAACCAGTCAGAAACGAAGCTAGATTTTTCTCATGGCCTAACTCACATTTTGACTACAGAGAGTCAGACAGTGCTTCTTCAAAAATAGCACCTTTGCCTTCAGTTTTTAAAACACTCATGTGGTGGGGAAGAATTGGGATTGAATGACTGACAGGTCCACCTTTAATCATAGGGCACATTTTACCAGGGGCTCTCCAATTCACAATGCTTTCAGGGAGGGGAAGGAGGGGTCCATGAGATGGATGTTCTGAAAAAGCTACTATCTTCACTATGCCTTAAATTGTTTTCAGTTGTCATTACACTGTTACTCATCATAACTCTCTAGACCTTAACCATTCTGAAACTGAAGATTTCATCCTTGGAAATGCTCCTGTGTTGTGTGTCAGATTTATATAAATTACCTCCATTGCTATGGAGGAGCAAATCAATCCCCACCCCCAAAGCTGAGGACTTCTCTTCCATGTGACTTGCAGATATTCTTCTGAAACTTCGTACATTTCTTACTTAGGAATACTTAGGCTGTTTATCATTGTCAGAGCAAGAGTTTCCGAGAAGCGTAGTGGTATAAGTGGGCCCCCCTCAAAAGGTCAAGTCTGCTGCAGCTATCATTCTCAAACTTGGCAGGCTTGATCCCCCTCAGGAAGGGCAATTATCCCTGCAGTATTTGTCCAATGCAAATTGCAGTTCCATTTTAAAAATCTAATACAAAGGCACATAGCACAAAAATTCTGCATTTTCTAACATTTGACAATCATGATCCCTAAGGAGCTATTATGCCTGTGACTCTCTAATTCTGTCCAAGAGGAAAAAAATAAGTTACACTGTTTTTAGATTTCCCATCATGGTGGAAAGTACAAAGCCTCAATTTTCTGCATCACTGCACAGATTCTCTATCAGGTCAAAGCAGACTTAACTCCAAATCATTCTGAGCAGAAGCAGGCCATTTTCTGAAGCACCAAACCAGGGACCATGTCAAAGCCAGAAGTCAGTGTACACCTCTACCAGTAACTACCCATTCCAGGGGAGTGGCACAGCTCCAGTGCTGGTGGCTGGCCACCTAAGCCAGAATGGCACTTCCTTCCAAACCTCCTGAACTATCTCAGAACTTATGCAGGACACTAAGCTATGCTGTACAGACAGGTGTAAGGAGGAAATAAAGCAAGGAAGTTGGCAAAGAGACTGGCATCTTTCTGAGCCTCTGTTCAGGCTTGGTATTGAGTTGAAGAAGATCCACTTCTGCCTAGACCAATCTCTGCTTGGGCTTGGTACCAAAACCAACTCCAAATCTACCTGAACAGAAGAAGGTCATTTTCTGAAGTGTCAAAGCAGGGGTAGTGGTAGAATTCAAATACCCAATTTTAAGTATGTGACTCTCCTAAGGAGACACACAAATATAGTGAAGATATTCTTAGAGATCACCAGCCAGAATTATCCAGGGCAATGGTGGATTTCTGTGAACATGCAGATGTGTGTGCTAGCTATGGTATGGACTTTCCAATGTGCACAACCTATGGCCACATGTACCCCTTTATTGCTTTCTATACAGATCAGCTGGACCGCAAGGAGAAGACTGTTGTTCTCAAGCTATTATTAGCAGTGATCCCAGTCGGGGTTGTGGGCGTGGGTAGCTTCCCCCAGCAGCGCTGAAGCTGCCAGGGTTGTTGCTTTCCTGCTGCTAATGGTGGTTTATTCACATGGACACTCATATGCAGTTCTCCTGCCCAACTGGAGGCAGATTACAGGGCCAAAATGTTATGTGCACTATGATATAGGAATATAGTAATTATACACTAATATGATTTATTGGTGTTAAAGAAATTCTTAAATCACAATCAAATCCTCTGTAAGCCTTGATCCCTACAGTGGCCTCAATGAACATTCCAAAGGATTTCTGAGTCTCTGTTATGTGCAACCATTTTTCTTGTATATGAGAGGATACACTGAGGACTCTTGTATTACTATCACATCTATTTTAATGTATACAGTTTTATTTGTGTCCCACTAAATCCAGGTATGAGCATAATAGCCAGACTCCAGATTTCTGCTAGCATCGATACAAGGGTTTTATGCTAGCACAGTCATTTAAAAAAAAATCTGAAGAACCCCACGCAATACAGCAAACTCCTTTCAGTTCTAGAAATAATTCATCTTAGGCTTTGATGAATTTGGTTTAAGAAAGAAAACATGTCTAAAGCCCATTAGCCTTATAGTACCAGTTTCAGAGTAATTTTGAATGCTGGTTGTATTAGTAGCATGCAAGACTAGCCCATAATTTTTAGTTCAGACATCAGAGAATAAACTCTGGGGGGTAAATGTTCACCAATGCGAGACTGTTTAGACTGAGTGTTTGACTTCAAATGTTGAACCTGTTTGCTCATGCTACTTCCTCCAGAATGCTGTATTATGAGATGTGTATAAGGAAAAAACACATTATCAATCAAAGAATATAGTCATTTTCTTTTCTTTTGATACAGGCAGAATTGGACGAACTTTTCTACAAACACAAAAGCTAAGAAAAAATAATGAAATAGAGTTTGATGCTGAAGCATTGTCTTTTAGTATGGAGGAAGAACCTTATGTCCCATCCAAAACTGCTACAAAAAAAATTGAGCTTTCATACAATGAAGTGAAAGATGCTCGCTGGTTTCATGACACTCCAGGGATTATAAAAGATGGCTGTGTAAGTAACTTCTATTTTTAACAAATTTACTCTGTGAGACAGAAAAGAGGGCAGTACCTCACTAACCCCTCTTTGTGCTACTGGTGCCATGAGAATAAGGCCTCATAGTTTCCAGCTTTCATTCACGGAAGGACTGGATCAACATCATGCACAAGAGCAAAGATGTAGACCCTCCGATCAGTGAGCTAGTCTGGCTTTCCAGGACCCCTCCCCTAAGCTCTGCTTGTTGCACCCCTTCAGGACAAGTGGAGAGCAGAATGCCTGCTGTTATCTCTGAAAATTCAGAGATAACAGCAGGAATTCACCTGTACACCAGTGCTCCTCCCGGTTAAGAGTTAGAATGGCACTTTAAACCAATCAATAAATGGAGTTAACAGTAGAGATTCCCTTGGTATGCTGCCTGCCATTCCAGACACTTTGTTGTTACCCTGTACTCTCTAATGGGAGAAGATGCAGTGCAGGTGAAACCAGGTCCCTGGCTAAGGAGCTGTTCCAGGTACATCAGTTGGGGAGCGACTGTGGAGAGATCATAAAGTCCCCTACCCAGTTCTAGTTCCTCACTCCTGCACTAGGGAACTGTGTGAATAAAGCAAACCCAGCAGCACTAATCTTCTTGCATGGAACATTTTTTGCTTAACTTCCTGTGTAAGGAGAAGCAGAGTAACCTCATATTATTAGTGGTTCCTTGTGCAAAGTCTCCACAAAACTTCAGAACAGAACTAGCAGGAGTTTTCCTTCCATTCAATGTTCTTTGGATCCAGCTCATTATTTAGCGAAGACAAATGTCTATGAGTGAATTTAGCCTTCACATTTAGACAATTTAGGTAGGACTGATATTAAAAATAAACAACCTTCATATCATAATCTTTGTCCAAGTTGCCTTCAAAGAAGTCTGGCCTACCACTTGTACTCTTGCCCCTTGTCCCTTGTGGCTGGTCATCAAAGCCAAGGAGTGAAGTGAATGCACTCCTGGGTCCAGGCTATTGTGAACTCCTTTCTGACGAGGGGTCAGGTCCCACTTCCGTTAAACGAGATGGTGATTGGGCCTCTCCTGCAGGTTAGCCTGGACCCAGAAGATGTTAAAACTATAAGCCTGTAGCCAACATTCCCTTCTTGGGTAAGATGCTTAAGCAGGTGGTAGCTGGTCACCTACAGGCTCTCTTGGAGGAAATAGATCATCATAATCCATTTCATTCTGCATTTAGAGCTGGTTATGAGACAGAGACTGCCTTGGTCACCCTGTGGGATGACCTTTGCCAGGAGAAAGACGAGGAGTGTGTCCCTGTTAGTTCTCCTGGACCTCTCAGCAGCTTTTGATACCATTGACCATGGTATTCTTCTGGATAGGCTGGCCAGATTAGGAGTTGGAGGCACTGCTCTGCAGTGTTCTGCTTCTGCCCGAAAGGCCAATTCCAGATGGTGTCGCTGGGGGTAGCACCTCAGCCCCATGACAGTTCTGTCATGGTGTGCCGCAGGGTTCCATCCTGCCCTGATGCTGTTCAAAATCAACATGAAAATGCTGGGAGAGGCCATCAAGAAGTTTGGGCCGAAGTGACAGCGGTACACTGATGACAGCTCTTCCTCGTGTTCAGCTCTGCCTCCTGTTGAAGCTGTTTCAGCTCTGAACTGGTGCCTGTCCAGGACGATGGACTGGATGAGGGCCAACAAATTGAAACTTAATCCAGACAAGACGGAGGTGCTATTGATAGGTGAACCTCAGTCCAGAAGGAGGATATCCACCCTGTCCTGGATGGGGTTGTACTCCCCCTACAGGACAGAGTGTGGAGGTGGGGGGGGGGTGACTCCTGGACCCGGAATTGTCCCTGGAATACCAGATGGCATCTGTGGCCAAGAGCACCTTTTATCAAATGTGGTTGACATATCAACTGCACCCCTATCCGAATGGGCAGCATCTAGCAGTGGTGATCCATGCACTGGTAACCTCGTGTTTAGATTACTGCAATGTGCTTGTACATGGGGCTGCCCTTGAAAATGGTCTGGAAACTTCAGTTGGTGCAGAACAGGGCCACCCATCTGTTGACTGAGACAGGTCAATATGAGCACATAAGCCCTGTTCTCTATCAATTGCACTGGCTACAAATTGGAAGTCCAGGCCCACTTCAAGGTGCTCATATTCATGTATAAAGCCTTAAAGCTTAGGACCTGGATATCATACAGAGCACCTCTTCCCTTAAATACCTACCTGAACCCTAAGCTCTTCAATGGAGATTCTTCTTCAAGAACCACCTTGAAAGGAAGCAAGGAAAGTAGCTCTGAGGGGAAGGGCCTTTTCAGTAGTGGCACCCCATTTGTGGAATCAGCTCCCCAGGAAAGTGCACCTGGCACCAACACTTTATACATTTTGGTGTCAGGCCAAAACCTTTTTATTCTCCCACTATTTTACTTGTTTACTAGAAATATGTTTTTAAATTCATTTTTATTATAATGATTGGTGGCAGTGATTCGTTGTGTTATCTATTTTGTGTTATTGTTGTTTAATTGGTTTTGATGTATTCTTGTATAGCTTTTTGGTTACTGTTATGTTGTTCTAATGTTTACCTATTCGTAAACTGTCCTGAGAGCAATATGCTGAGGGAATGGTATATAACGGTTTTAGTAAATAATAAATACGCTACCTGAACAAGTGGAAGGGAACTGGCTTGAACCCAGGGCTTTCATCTCTCTGCCAAGCTCTCCTTGCCATCAGTTCCCAGAGCCAAACCAATCTAGCTAATTCCCACTCAGCTAAGACACACAGTGGGAATCCTTGAACAGTAATGGTCTCTGCTTGATAGAATGGGTGAGCAGACAAGCCACCATTCTGGGCTCTTGGAGAGGAGCAGGATATGCATGCAAACTGATTTGCATCTACCTGGTGATATGTTTAGCCTTTTCCCTCCGCCTCCCTTTCTTTCTTGGAAGAATAGGCTTCCATACCATCACAAGGTTTGTGAAACTCTCCCGTATCTTGTTTGCTATGCATTATTAGGCAGCTGCTGTTCAATAAATGCAAATCCAAAGCCTTCTTGAGCATACTGACTTTAGCTGCACAAAGTTTGCAAGGAAATGGTTTTTAAATTATTTGGCCCTTTATAAGACACTGGAGAGAGTAGCAACTTGCACACATGCATACTCTTAACTTCTTTGGATTAATGTATTGTGCATCTTATTAATCCAGCACCAGCTAGCTAGGCATACCTGCACTCATGTAGCATTTAGATGGCAAGTGCTGTCTTGCCATCAGTGGCCTAAGAAGTATTATTTGTATCATCATCTTTCCTATCAACTAAGCTGCAGGAACTCAAGGTATCTACTTGCTATAAAATGGAAAATATGAACATTGATGTATCTGTCTTATGTGTGGCTTTCTGATTTGCTTTTAGGTTTTAAACCTCCTAAATGAAAATGAAATCAAACTCGTCCTGCCAACCACTGCCATTGTTCCACGGACTTTTATACTCAAGCCTGGGATGACTCTGTTTCTAGGTGCATTGGGACGCATAGATTATTTACAGGTGAGAGAGGCAAAGGTCACTCTCTACTGGATGTTAAAATCTGATTTGTGGTATATGTTACAAGGTGTAGTAACTGGTCTATGAGAGGTGTATTCCAGACAGATTGAGAGCTCCAGTTACTTATTTACTTACTTACCAACCAACCACCCAATAGCAAAAGACACATCAGCTCTAAAGGAGAATTTTCCCCTTTCCTTGTCCTAGACCATGGGTCCTCAAACTACTGCCCATGGGCTGGATCCGGCCTGCCATGCCCATTTATCCAGGCCATCTCAGAGGTTTTGGACTTCCCGCACCCGCTGCCACCTGCCTCACTGCACAGGTGGCAAGACGGCAGCTTGCTCGCTCAGAGATCGTTTTGGACTCACTCGGAGATCTACGAGTGAGCGAGCTGCCGCCGCCATCCACCGCACACATGCCCACCACTGCCTCGTGTGTGCATGCCGCCACCTCGCCAGCCCATGCCCACCACCGCGGCCTTTCATCTGGCCCCGTTGAAAATGCTTGGGGACCCCTGTCCTAGACTCACAGGTGATGAATGCCTTCTGCTGTACAGACAATGCCACCAAAGGTTGATGTGGGATACTGGATAAATGCCTTTGCTGTCATCATCCCTCGCTTCTTCAGGTCCATAAAGGTCACTTGCCCCTGGAATTCTCACCCTAGTCCTTTTCCCTATTTACTCCAGGCAGAGATCCATTTTTGGGAGTCCCTCTCAAATATCAAAAGAAAGAAGCTAAGGCTGTCTTCCTACCTTTTTAGTTTGGTCAGCATGACTCCAAGCAAGTACATTGTTTCAGAAAACATAGTTTCACCTTGTTTGGAAGAAAAAAAATATGTTTTATGACATACGTTGGAATATCAGGAACTGGGGAAAAGATTTGAAATTATAAGTGTGAACAAAGGAATAACATAAAAGTCGTGCATGTTTTTCTGAGTCTTTTAACACACAGGGACAATAGATTCAAATACTGTTGAGTTTTGGCTTTCTGTCTAGGGCTGGATTGGGTGTTTTTACCCAACATGGTAGGCTTTTTCATCTCCTACTAGGCCAAACACTGGTCTCCCTTGGTTCTTTGTGTATATTCGTCTCCCCTAAGAAAGAGTTTATCATACCTTCTCATGTTTTTCTTGATTCTATTAATTCTGGACCCATATAATCTTCCATAAAGCTTCTCAGGTCCTGCACTGTGTACAGGGCACAATCCCAGTGGTTCCCACAAACAGGCATTAAAATTACAAAGGGCTGGAAATATGGAGTTGCATCTGCAGATGTACCTGTAAAGAGGATGAGCCAAAAAAAAAAAAAAAAAAAACCTGCTGCTGTCTCTACTCCCAACCCCAAATGCTTCTCCAGAGCATGAGAGAACCTGTGCCACAGCCCATTCTGTTCAGTATCCCACAACCCTTGGAAGAACATTTTCACAGGGTACTGGAGATTGGGTAGGGAGAGAGTGGATCCAGAGCATGGTCCACATGGGATGGCAAGTCATGTTTTGGTGTTCTGTGAAGGAGTCTCTAGCTTGTGCATTTTCCTTTCCTCCTCCCCTTGTACACTCTGATTCCCTCACTGTCCTTTTGTGGCAAGTCATAGTTTGTCAAGCTGGGTTTAGCAGGAAATTATGGTTTGCTGTGAAAAAGGAAATAAGGTAAGTCCAAGAGGAGGAGGGAGAGCACCACAGCCTCATATGTGAGAATACACGGTTTTTCTTGTTTGCTGTATTTTGTATTTTTCTTTTCAAGCTGGAAGCTGAATTTTGCTGTGGATGTTTCATCAAAGGCAAAGATAAAATAGGTACACTGGTGCCTCATACTTCATACTTAATTCATTTTAGGAGGCTATTTGAACACCAAATCATTTGAAGTCCAAAGCAATGTTCCCCATTAGAAATAATGGAAAGTGAATTAATCTGTTCCTAGACCCCAAGCAATACCCATCTCAATAAACTTAAACTGCAAATGTGCATAAATTAGGGTAAAAATAACACAAATAAATGCCAAATTTATTCATTAAAACATGAAAACAATAAAATATGTACAGTACTGTATAATAAAATGAAAATTGCATTTACGGTTCAAAATTTTTAGTGTGGAGTGGTGAAACAGAAAAGAATTGAAAAGGCAGTGGGAACAGTCAGGAAAGCAGGCAGTTCAAAGGCACTGAGAAGTATCAAAAAGGCAGTGAGAATGATCAGGAAGGTAGGTAGTTAAAGGGTATTGAAAACAATTGGAAAGGCAGGGAGTTCAAAGGCACTCAGAACGATCAAAAAGGCACTGAAAAGAATCAAAAAGGCACACGGCGAAAAGGCACAAGCACAGACACGATGAGAGACGACTTGGGTGCACAACTGATAACATTTACACGACTGCATTTTTTTCACTGCCTGCTGTTTGAACTTAGAAGCATCATCCAAACTTTGAAGAGATTTTATCTTGACTCTAATGTTCAAACTCTGGATCATTCGAAGTTAGAGTAGTTTGAATTATGAGGCACCACTGTATATGTTTTCTCTACTCCCTTTCCAGGAACTGTGGATTTAGGAGTGCTTATACTGTGTTTCCCCAAAAATAAGACTGGGTCTTATATTAATTTTTGCTCCCAAAGACGCACTAGGGCTTATTTTCAGGTGATGTCTTATTTTTTCATGTACAACAATCTACATTTATTCAAATACAATTATGTCATCTTCTTCTGGAACATCGTCATAACTATCCAAACCCCAAATTGTGTTGCAACGGACATACTAAATGTGTCCATCTGGCTGACAGTCTTAACTGGGGCTTATTTTTGGGGTAGGGCTTATTTTCCTGTTAGGTCTTATTTTTGGGGAAACAGGCTAAGAATGACAAGCTCATCTAATTTGCTACATTTGAATAGCAGCCATCCAAAGTTAAACCACTGTCCACCTTTTAAATACTAGAGAATCCCTTGCTAGCTGAAGGTGTGTTAAATTTGTTAATGAAGCAGCCATTTCAACTTAGTAGAATTTATTTTAATTTTCTTTTTAGGGGGACCAGTCCTCCCATTTTTCTGTTGTGGCATCTAATTTTTTGCCTGTGCACATCACTACAGTAGAAAAAGCAGATGACATCTATCAAAAGCATGCAGGTCAAGCATTACTGAAGGTAAGGCAGCACTGACAGTACACCGCTGGAGAATCTGTGAGGCCTAATGCCTTGTGATTGCTCTTATTCCACAGACATTCATTATTTTGCCTCTTCGGCCTAGCACAAGGCATGCTTTGTTCTGCTCTTAGCCAACACCATGACTGCATTGTCTTGAACGAGTTCTCCCTGTCTTGGTGGTCTTCCACTTTATGCAAGAAGGAAATAATACTTCACATTGTTTTGCTTCTATCCAATCTCTGGAAAGTAGATAGTAGAATTAAATAGCTCTCTGTGGAAAAAGATTGTTCTCTATTTAAGTCATACAAAAAGGTGGTCTCCCTGCAAAAGAATGAAGAACCAGGAACTAGATATATGGTAAATTTAAATGTATTATTCTTAATTTATATAAGCTTCAGACATAATCTAGATCTTACTTGGGTTGGATATCTGAAAATAGTACAAAGAAATAAATACTTTGTCGAAGTAATATGGTAGCTCCATCTGAACCGAGGTCCTTTATGTCAAAACCTAGTGTTTTCTCTACTGTACCCACCACAGAATGCCATTTAGTCTTTTTCATTGGTAAGTGGGAGAAAACTCCAATTATTTCAGTTCAGAATATCTTTAGAAGTTGTGGCATAGAAATATTGCTGCAACCCTGCACCCCAGCTTCTGACTAAAGCAGGGCATTCCACCTCAGAAGCTGCCTTGCTTTGCAATTGAACATGCTAGGGCAAAACTGTAGACCAGTAAATTGAGGCTACAGCTTGATGCATTGAGAATCAGATTCAGGCAATTTCTCCATCACTCCAATAGTCTCAGTGAACGCATTCATATTTAAACAATGTAAAACCATTTTTCCTTTTTTTATGGTTTGTACTAAGGTTGTCTTTGTTTCTGGGATATTGCAGTTTTCTTCCCATTGGTTTACCTTCAGTTTCTCATTTCTCTTCTTTCACTCAGCTTCCTTTTTTTTTTTCCTGTCTCAGCCAGGTCGCACTTTGTCTTCATCTTCACTTTTCTTGTTCACTTAAACTGCTACTTCTAAATCAGCATTTCCACCTGCTTTTTTTCTATACCTTGGCTCTGTTTGTTTTATTCTTCTAGTTTGGTCCTTTCTTGTTATTTCTAATATCCATCTATAGTCTGTTGTGAGTCTTGAAATTTCCAGTGAAACCTCCTCAAATTCACCTGCATTTGTCTTCAATGATTGCTTAAAATTTATCCTCTCATGCTTTTATCAACTGGATTTTTTTCTCAAAACCTGTTCTTTTTTATTCACCTTGCCCTCCCTTCCTTCCTTCCATCTGTTGTGTCTAGATTATAAACATATGGGCCTATTGCCTACATAAAGTACCTCAATTGCCGATAAATATTAAGGAAATAATTGAACTGTTGTCAGTTATTTTCTCTATTTTTATACATTTGCTAGTTAATGTCACCAGACAGATTTCAAGTATTATTTTTACTATTTAACTATTGTATTTCTGACTTGTACCACCAGGTTCCTATAGGAGAAGAACGAATGAAAGATTTCCCACCACTTGTTCCTGAGGATGTGATGCTGGAAGGGATCAGTGACTCTGAGGCAGTGGCTGATATAAAGCTTTCAACTGCTGGTAACTCTTTCAGTCTTGAGATGCTCAGTTGTATAGGGTAGTAGTTTGTGCCAGAATGGAGGCAATTTTTGCTTTGCCACGGTGCAATAACCTATTTGAAAAACTGAACCCTGATTTCTGAGTTGTGGGGGTGCTTCAGACTTGGTTGGATCATGAACTGAATCGGGATGATTTGAAAATATCAGAGGCATCAAAATCAAAGCAAGGCTCTTCTGAACCCTTCTGAAACTATGTTTGTGATTTGAAAGAACACAGAGATCCAGACACTATTCCTACAAGAGCAGATATATTTCTCCTCAAGCTCTCCATAAAAGAAAAATGCAAAAATGTGGAAAGGGGGAAAAGGAGGAGGCAACTGGCAGCTCTAACTTCTTATCACAATGAATAATTTTGTTAGAACTATCCAGTCGCAATGCTTTGGGGCAGATCATTGATGTTATTCTGCAGTACTGTTTCAGAATAATGTACAGTGGCTTGACTCCACGTAATGCTAATCCATGGTTAGTCAGGCAGGCAGGCAAACTAGTCAGCCCAATTTGCAGGGGTTAGGGATGCGGGACCCCCACGTAAGTGGAAAAACCACAAATATCTCTAGCCATCTCCAAACCTTAATTCTTAATACTGTTAACTGCACATGTACTGGATTGCTTCTTCACGTCTGCCTCAGAGCCTGGTCTGCTCCAGCAGGGCTCCTCTTCTTCATTTGTACATTCTTATTCCTGCCTTCCCTTTCCCTTGCCAGCGCCTCCTTTTTGCACCAAGGAAATGTGGGAGGGATTTCCCTCTCCGGATGTGCAGGGCAAGGCATGCTTTGGAGGCCTTGCTCTTTCCCTTTTGCTTCCTCTCTATAGTGATAACAATTTTTTGCCGTAAACCACAAAACTCCAAAAAAATCCCCATTTACTTATTGATGGCAAACTCATGAATCCTCAAAAGTGAAACCTACGAAAGTCAAGGTTCAACTGCAGTTTGTTTCTTAGTTCCTGGGTGTTTTTATCCTTGTCCTTCACCTGTTCCTGTATTGTAAATCAGGGCAATGCTGTGGTACTGGCATTTGGACTGGCTGGATTTTTGTTTTTACCACTTTGCTTGCTTGTCTGGTGAAACAACCCACAATCCTGGGCTCAGTAAGCCATATTTGAAACAGCCTGCAGGTCACTGGCCAGGAAAAAACCATAGGTTCCTTTTCTGATGGTGTTAACAGACTTTTTTTTAACTACAGTTGAGTCAATATATCACATCCCATCTCAGGATTCAACCATTCTGTCATTATTAAGATTGTTGATACATTAGATCAGTAATCTTATTCAGGAGTGCAAAAAACAACTGGAAAATTCACAGAAATTAAACATTCCTCTCATGGCTTCAAAATTTTCCTGAAATATTACATCTCTAGGATTACCCCCAAAATTATTTCTAAGAACTATGTAATGCATTTTGAGACTCCTGGGGCTATTGAACAGGATATAAAACCTAAATAAATAAAAATGTAAAGGTCATGGGTAGCACATATATGAACACCTTTTCTTATTCATCAATTTAAAGGAGAATATTTCACAAGAATATTTCAGTTGCTCAGAAGAGGGTGGTGGGAAAGTGCTTGGAGAAAAGGGGGACGCTTTCCTCCTTTTTTTGCTGCTGTTTTTTCTAGCCATTCATTGCTCTAGACACCCTTAGGCAAAACCTTTTAGCAGGTTCTCTTAATTTTGGACAGGCACTAAAGGGCATTTTCGAAAGATAAGACCTTGTTTTAACACTGAAAAAGAAAACTAAAAGATCTTCTTGCCAGGCAGGAGTTCATAGTAAGGCCAGTGTCTGATTTCTGTTTTCATGTCATGTGATCAAGTTTGGTTTTTTCCCCCCCTTTCCCATGTACAGGTTGGGTTGCAGTCACAGCAGAATCAAGAAACAAAATGCATCTAAGATGCTATACTCCAAAAGGAACAACACTGACAGTACGTAAACCACCTCTGCTGCCATATATTGTTCAAATCAAAGGGGACCGTCTGAAAGGAAATGCAGCGTATCAGACTAAAAGACCACCTGCTCTTGTGCAGAATTTAAAAGCTAATGTAAAGAAGAAAAAGAATCTGTTGAAAAATTAAGGTGTAGTTAATGGATTTTCCAATATAACATTTTCTCAAAGATAGCAGACTGTTGTTTGCCCAAATCACATCATTAATTTCATCTTTTTGTAGAACAAGTGTTGTAAAATGTTTTGAGATTTAAAATAATGGCCGTGTAGCACTGACAACTGCAGTATTCTATTTACATTTCTTATGCCCTGCTTTGGAAAACTTTTAATTTTACTCAATAAATGTTGTCAAAAAAAGGGCAATTGGTTATAGTTCAGTGCATGCAAGCATCTTACCAGTGCTTGTAAGTTGTAAATAGAGAAAAAATTGTTTCTTGCTCTGCAAAACCCTCTTGAAAATGTCATGGGCTGTTTCTGGAATTGGTGAAAGTTTATACCAATTGGCAACTCTGAATAACCAATCTTAGGGTGATTATTATCTGTGATAATTGCAAAATCCAATTAAATACATGACTTTATTATGCTTTAAGATGTTAAGTGCCTTCTAATATGCCAGTGCCCATTCCTAACTACCATCTGCAGACAGCCAACATAAAGAGTATGGCCATCCAGCAGTAAATGTGTGTCCAGGCAGCTGTGGAATGGTATCTGGTAAGCTACTTAAGAAATGGACCGGGGTGGGAGGGGATTTTAGGACAGGAAGAATTTCAGGAAAGGAAATCCAGTGGAACATATCAAAAGGGCTTGTTTCCATTTGAATTAATGACATTAAAACTGTGCTGCTTCTACCACGCTAGAGGCCCAGTGGCTTGTGATTATTAATTACTCTTGTAGTAAAGCATGGAGCAGTATTGTGTTAATATTGTAAATGAACAAATGAAAAACTGTCAATCAGGAAAGTTAACTTTTTTTACATTTTGGACTTTCTGACAACAGGTAACATTGAGCTACTGGGATTTTTTTCATCTAAAAGGGTCCCCCAATTAGGGCCTAATAAAAGCTGACTTCAAAAAGTGTTTTGAATTCTGCTTTTGATTGCCTGTTTGCAAAGTCCAAAGCATTTTGCTGCTATTTAAGTATAAAGCATACACCATGGGTCCTCAAACTATGGCCCGGGGGCCGGATCTGGCCCGCCATGCCCATTTATCTGGCCCGCCAGAGGTTTTGGACTTGCTGTTGGCGAGGCACCAGCTTGCTCGCAAGGAGATCGTTTTGGATTCGCTCAGAGAAAACCATCTCTGCACACCTACCCATGCCTCACCATGTTCACGCCCCCCCCGCCCACACCGTCTTGGCGGCCCGCACCCATCGCCAGCACCTTTCAACTGGCCCCCTGTTCAAAAAGTTTGAGGACCCCTGGCATACACCATCCAGCTCTAAGGTGTAGGCACAAGGTGAATTAATCTGTGTCTTCCATTGAAAGAGACTGGAATTACATAGTCCTCAAATCAAACAGATCACATAACCCCTAAGTATTTTGCCCATAAAATATATGAAGATTCTTCCCTTATAGTCTTAATTCTGCTGATCAAACTGCTGAAGTGTGTTACCAGTTACCACTGCCTACATGCTCTCAATTGTGAAAATCTTGGATCAGCAGTTGCTTTTCGTGCTCTGAGAGACAAGAGATGCATCATCATTTCTGCCACTCTTTGTGTTGCAGCATTGTGTGCAGCTAGAAGCATGTGTAAATGCACCTGGGAAGGATGCACTTCAGGTATAAGAGTATTTGTAAACTGTTTTTTGGCCTGAAGCCAGACCCAATACACTGGAAAAAATAATTGAACAATAAAATCAGTTCTTAAAGATCTAAGAAAGACAGGTTCCCTTACCTGTAACTGTTGTTCTTTGAGTGGTCATCTGTGTATTCACACATATGGGTTCTTCGCTCATGCGATGATACACAGAGACCATTAAGAATAACCAAGTTTAAAAGCAAAAAGAAACTAATACTCTGAAAAGCTAGAAGAAAGAATAGACATTTTCTATACTTGTATCCTGTTCGTCTTGCAGTGTCCTGTACCTTGAATGTAAAAAACCATAGTGTAGATGGTTCTGTAGCATGAACACATTTGTCTAGGAATGCTTGTTTTATCTAGGAAGCTTGAGAATGGATTTTTTCCTAAATTTCCTACTTGGAAACATCATTGTGATTTTCTGCTCAGGAGGAGGTAACTTGTGGACCCTCAGATGTTTGGGCCTTTAATTCTCATGATCCTTCACCATGGTCTAGCAGTTGCTTCTTTCTGTACTGAAGTAATCCTAAACATTTGCTGATATACACATTCTTAGATTATGTGCTTTATGGACATCAACAAATGGAAAGGCGAATGGCTTCACTACATCCTTTCGACTGCTAAAGCTGGAAGGTTACTCACCTGCTATAAGGCAATGGACCGAGATCCTTTAAATGTTTTTGTTGTAACAACAAGGGACATAGTAATACCAACATCAAATGTCTATGTATTTGGATATTTGGTCTGCTTTTATCAAAGCCACTGCATGTAATTGCTCAGAAGTTGTGTCTGTTAAGATGGGGGGAAATTAAATGGCATAACTTGCGCTTTCTCAACTAGAAAAGCTCAACAAGGGGGATGAGCAGAATCTAATGGGCCAAAGACATAAAACTTGTCTTTCTTTAAAACTCAGTGTCTTCTGTTTGTTCTAGTATTGATGGCTTACATACCAGATACACTGCAAAACAAAAATTTCCTGTGTCCTGCAAGTGTTTTGATACTTGAGTTGAAGGGAGATGTGAATGTGTTATGGATTGTCCAATTGTTATCAGCTCTACAGAGTTCAGTGTCAAAACAGAGGAAAGGCTATTGCAGGAAATGGAACTTCTCTCCTGTGCCCCAAAATGTTTTTAATGTCATTTGGAAGTTATCCTGTAAGAGAGCCTGGGTGATTTAGCTATTATAATATTACTTAATTTAGAAGGCGAAAATGATTTCCTGAAAATGCACAATTTGAACTGTGTGGTGTATTCATAAGAAACCAAGCTATAAAACTGGAAAAACCTGGTTTGACCATTAACTGCACTGAAGTGGATTCCTCAGGACAAGCTGCTCTAAGCCTCAGGCACCCAGTTCATGGTATTTATATTACAGGTTTGTGATAAGAATCATAAAATAATGTACCTGAAACACTTTAAAAGCAAAAGTGCTATATGAAATGTTAAAAACTATATTAATCTTAACTAAGTAAATTCTTGATAAGCTGACATTCTAGTATAACTATGAAACTTAGGATAGGATTTTGATAGGTAGAAATGGGCTTGATTTTCAAAGGCTGTAGGGAGGGTAGTACTTTCTTCCACATGTGAATCCGTAACAATATACAAAGCAGATAAAAGGCTCAGATTTCATGAATTACTTCTGTAGGACAAGGTTAGGCAACACAGTACCCACAAGCACCAAGGCATCCCTGAACACCTTGGTTCTAAGACAGCTTATTCCTATTTTTGAAATACTGGAATTTTCCCCACTAGCAGCTTGGATTGAGTGAAAGTAAAATGGGAGCCTTTGTCACTGTCCTTCATTTCCCATGGACAAATGGTATTTAAAACCTAACCATGTCCACCTGTGGTAGCCATTTTATGGTTGTACACAGGAAAGTTTCTTAAAGTTCCAAATGTCCCTCAGGCTCAGAAAGTTTCCCCATCCCTGCTTTAAGGGAGAGAGTAGAGAGGAGAGCACTAGTTCTGCATGCAGAAGATCCCAGCTTCAATCCCCAGCAGTTCCAGGGAGGACTGGTTTTCCCCCAGTTTCCTGCACTACATTTCCATGCCCACCTTTGCAATGCTTATGCTCATGTAAGAACAAAGTTAATATGCTCTTGTAATATTCTTAAGCAAAACATTTAGAACATAATTCTATGGACTCCCAGGCCCAACACTGTCTAGGAGACCACAGAACTATTTGGAGCCCTGGTTTCAAGGTACTGCCACCTTGGAGCTGGGATCCTGAAGGCTAAGCTGCCCCCCACCCACAGGCAGCATGGAATAAATGGTACCCATGGCCTCGCCTCCCTGAGGTTGCAAGTGGGTCACAGAGAAGATGAAAAGGGATGTGGCAGGTGGAGAGGGAAGGGGTTAGAGCCAAGGACTCATGCAGATTTCTAGCAACACCCCAGCCTCCTTCCTTCTGGCACTTTATCTGAACATCTCAATAGAGCAGAGCATGAACTGTGGCAGCAATTACTGCCACTACACCTCACTTTGTGCATCGGATGCACCTAAACCTCCATGCTAAGAAGAAGACTGTGCCCTTAAAACATTTCAGGTTACTTCTGAATATCAAGTGATGTTTGCCTGTTTGAATCTAACTTGGTTATCGGCCATGCTGCCTCAAACCCAAACTGGTGTAGGTTCTGAAGCAAAATAATGCCAAATATTGTAGACTCGCCCTAAACAATTAAATCAACCTTTCTGCAGACTCAGCATGTTCTGCCTAACAAGACAGGAATGAGACCAAGCGCCCTGCAATTTTATGGTATTCAGCATTGCACACCAAGAGTGGCTAGGGCATTAGCAGGGTTCCTACAATGGTATAGAATGTGCTTGCGTTCAGTAAGTTTCAACCTTATTTGAATGAAACCCTCAAATCCTTTAGGTAGGGATAAGATACAATCTCAGGTATTTACAGTCACTGAATAGAATTTTAAGGAAGCAGGTCTTCAGCACCTTCCATGGTTTCTTATTCTTAATTAGGCAACAGTTTTCCCTAAAGCCTGCAGCAATTAAAAGGCAGAGAGAGAGACACCCAGGTTAGGGAACAAATGAAAAGCAGACATTAGCCAGTAAACACTTTTCAACTCCTAGTTGTTGTGCTGGATGTTTTTAGTATGTTTTAAGCAAACACAATAGGAAAAAATTAACTGAATTTCCTGGTGTGCTACAATGGCCAGTCTATTGAAGTACATTTTTAAAAATTTATGTTGTGAACACCAACTTACTAGAGACTACATGAGACAAAAATAGTTAATTTGGCAACTGGTTCAAAGTTCTTACAAGCTTGATCCAAAACTTGTTAGCTGAAAACAAGCCCCAGGTATGTCAGTGTAATTCTGTATTTTGATTTGGATGTTAAGTCAGACTAGATGACATTGACAAGCACTGCCTTACAATTTGCACTCTTAAAACTTCCAGTGGACTACAGGGAACTTAATGTACATTCTATTCTCTTGCTCACTACCAACTTCACTCAAGTGCCAAGGATAGTGAAGTGGAAAGATTCCATGAAACTTGGATAGCATGTGCTGCCTCAGCATTGTCATCTTGCTATTATTAATCCATGGTGAGGAAAAGACACCATTTTTGCTACAGACATGTTCTCCTTCTGCTTCAACATTGCATCCTTCCCACTAGTTAAGCAGTCAAGAGTGGAGGAACCCCAAAGGACCCACAAATTTTAGCTCTGAGTTTTAAGATATTCCACCCACCTATTCACTGGCCCCAGGAAACAGGCTATGGGCCTTAAGAGATTCAACAATCATCTGTAAGCAAGAGATGGAGATTGAATGCCATTTCAATGCATTTATAGCCTGAAAAATGACAACATTAAGGATCAGAGAAATACAGCACCATGTTGAAAAAATGCACTATTAATTAGAATGGCCACTAACTGGATATAACCTTCCATGTAGCTGCAGGTAGATCATCCTTGATCATGTCAATGAAGGCTTTTAATCTTTGGAAAATATTAACTCTAAAAGCACTATGACACCACAAGTAGAATGAACCAAATTGTGCTTGGTTGGTGCCTCTCTAATTCATATTAACAAATTTATCCAAAGTTAATTGAAAGCTCCACTCAAATATCCATTCTCATTTCAGTATGTAGGTCCTGAAGTTGTAATTTTGTGTTTCAAAATTTGTGTGGATTGTGTTTCATCTTGACATCATTTCCACCTGAAACAGCTGCAGAACAGTTTTTTTGCTTTGTTTTCACACCTGAACTCAATGTTTTACTTTAATATTCAGTCCTCTCTAATAATATATATATCACCTGAAGTTGTTTTAGAGAGCTCAGCAAAGTCTACAGTGAGCATCACTACAAAAACAATATAGCATATGTATAATGTTGCTTAGCACCACTGTTGTCAAAGATCCTGAGAAGCTGTCAAACTTAAATGGTTCTGTTAATTCTATACTTTAGAACTTTAAAGCAAATGGACTACAATCTGCTTCTTAATTTGATGCCAGCCATCTGAATGAGGAAAAGGTTTTAGATAGGTATTCACTCAGGACTGGCGCCGATTCATCAGAACCATGAAAGAACAGGCAAGAACATAGAACTGACATGGTCACTCCTCTGACTTTCCTATGCCTTGAGTCAAATGAGAGTGTTCCTTCCTTCCAAATTAAGCCAATACCAACCTTGAAGTGTAAACCAAATGGCCATAGCCAATATTATCATCTTCAGAATATTAATAAAATAGAGATTAAAGCTGCACATGTTCCTTAATAAAGTTTATTGACTTATAACTATGCTTAGGAAAATACACTCAAGGGTTAATATGCAATTTAGTTTAACACCTTACATTTTGGACAAAGGCTTGTACATTGTTTACGTGAATAAAAAAAACCCAGGACATGTGATCTGTTCTGATTTTATATCTTATTACAACTGTATAAAAGCTCTTCATGCACTACAGTAGATAGAAAGCATGAAAAATTACCTTTGGTTTAAATTGAGAGAATAATACAAGTATTGCACTGTAAAAAGCTTCAAACACGGTGCAACCAAACATAAAATGTTTCAGTGCCAGCTTACAAAAACTTCTTTAGCTAGTGTGATTTTCTTTTTAGGGAGGAAAGGTGTATATACATACACATGTGTGAAACATTTCCTTAAGCTGCCTGAATGCAATTAATATTGTATCTCAGCGTGTTAGCTACGAAGACAAGATTCAATACATCTAACTGAACCTGTGTTTACAACTAAATCATCAGCAAAACCTAACATACTGAAATTTACAATGTTATGAGTAAACTGACCTGTCAGTTTGTTCTGTAAGAAGGATTTAAAGTTCCAGCCCTTAGGTCAATCAATCCCCAGATAGCAGCAATATTAAGATGTGTTGCAAGTTCCTAGTTATCCATTCTTTAGGTGTCTTGCAGCATTGAGTTTTCATGTTTGTTTCCATAAACTTTAAATGTTCTGCTAGCCACACTGCCCAGCATGGTACCAACAACATGAGATATTACAGTATGGGTCAGATTGGAATATTCTTACAAGGATTGCTGCTGAGAGAAGCCCTTTAGTAAGGAAGAAGCTGGAAAGGTGAGTCCAAATTCCTGTAAGCCCTGTGTTTAATTTAAGAAATACCTACTTTAGGCAGAAACACAGTACATTATCTACATTTTAACCCTAATTTTGCTTATTCTTTAGCAACGTCTAACATTCAGAGATGCATGACATGTTATCTTTTACTGTATATCTTAAAAATCTTCAAATCTCTCTAAGACAACAACATGGTAAAAATGTATTGGAATTTAGAGTCACAATATCCAAGGTAACTTGGGATACAATGATCTGATCATTGGAAGATTTGTTTTCTTAATACTTAAGTGTTTTGCCCTTTCATGTGCAAGAATACTGCCCAACACAGGCACTGTCTTCTACAGTTTTTCCAAGTGTGAAATATTTTGTCTTGATAATTTGCTAGTAGAATATTCTGTGTAACATAACAGCCTTTTTATTCATCTTATATCACTATTGCTACCTGTTTGCTTTATCTTTTAAATCAACTTGGCTTTTTAAAAAAAATCATGAAAATGTAGCCCAAGACCATGAAGACTCTTACAAAATGGAAGCATCTCTTTAAAAACAGGAAAAGTTCCAAAAATCTGTCTACACAGTACTGGAATTTCCAGCCTCTGTCCAAACCTCTTACAAAATGACAATATTTTTACACCCAACAATAAAGTTGCATCTAATACTATTTCAACTAATTGGTTAGGAAGACATTTCAGCAGTGTTTAATGGTTCAACATAAATATAGTTGCAACTTGATTTTCAATTGACAATGATTGTCACAGCGAAAGTAAGTCTTGAACATAAGCTATTCACACACAAATAACTAATGTTATACAATTTACTTCTGCCCTAAAGGGATTTTCTCCCTCAGATCTTTGGCCTCCTATTTCCAGTCTCCCACCCCCACCCCTATACAGAAGTATCAGTTTCCTCTATTCAGTCAAGTTATGTTGAAATGGAAGCACACAAAATGCCAACAGAAGGGGAGCAGGGCAAGGGGAGACTAAGGGGAAACAAATTATAGTTTAATATGCTTGCAGTAGAGCAGAAAACTACACTGGTAGCCGGGGGGGGGGGGGGCGACAATGTGCCAGCAACTTCTGCACAAACCCTAAGAAACAGACCAGAGCAGTAAAATAACACCATAGCTGGATTTGTGCTGCAAAACGTCTCAGCAGATTGGGCCCTTTGACAATGTAACGCTCCCATGTCTGCTGTTTTGCTCTATTTCAACAAAATATTCATTTCCAGAAACAATAAAGAAAAAAAATCAAATAGGATGGGTGTACAGGTAAGATTGTTAGCTCAATTTTGCTAATTATCTGCAGGTTGTCATTGCTGGTATATTCAAAGACATTGAGAAGCAGGTCTTAATGGTGAATAAACCAGTCTGAAAGTTACTTGTGACTCTTCTCCCAGTTTACAATTTATAATTCAAATATCCAATCATTTCAATTTATCTTTATGCCAACTATAAAAGGACCAGAGTAATTAATTTAATTAAAACTTGATTGAATAAAGAACAGCAATTTTTACATCTGCCCTAATTCAAGGTTTGTTGCTTACCAGGATTTTTCTGATGCATGGCATTAGATGAACAACAGAACTTTTTCAATGCTAAAGTAAGCAGACAAGGCAGAACCCAATCGGCAATTCTCTTGCATGGGTATCACTGAAATAAATGCAAGCTGTGTGAAATCAGAGTGCCTAGGTGGACTGTGCTCCAAATATTTCATATACAAATGCAGTGGAACTAGAAAATATTATTTTGCATGAATTTGACTATTTCATTTGTAATATTCCTTAGTACATTTTAAGAATTTAGCAAGCATCATCCATTAATACATTCTCCTGGGAAATTCTCTCATACAAGCCTCTTTGAAAGGAACAGGAGATAAAGACAAATGGGGTTCTTGCGCATCTCTTGTTCATTTTAATGGGAACTGTGAAATATTTCCTTCCAATAACAGCATTTTCAAAATAATAACAAAAAGCAGTAAAAGAGTGGGTGTACTATCTGCATGAAAACAGATTATATGTTATAGGATAGATCCAGAATCCAATGGATGTATGAAAGTATGCAGGAACTGCCTTTGGGAAGCAGGGCATGATCTTCAGGAAAGCTGGCCTTGCAGAGAGCTAGGAAGCTACTCTTTAGCCAGCTCCCACTCAGTTAATAAAGGTTTAAGCAAAACAACTTCCCCACAGCTTGTGCACATTATCATTTGTTCAATTAATGTTATTGTTCAATTAAAGCTCCTAAGGGTGCCATCCAATGTGATTGCCCATAACCCTACCAACTGAAGAGTGTTGGAGCCGCACAGAGACAAGGATTGTCTCCACACTTCTCCCTCCTGGCAAAGACACAGACAGACCATTTCTACCATCTGTCTTTTGCTCCTATTTGTGAGGAGGCGAGGCAGAGGCACTGCCAGAACTCCTTGTATCATGTCAAAGTCTCCTTCCTACACTCCTCCGAGAACCCCTTCCTCTCAATGCTGCCTCCAAAGTGGCACTTATGGAAAGGACCACGCTGGCTGTAAGGGGAGGTGCTTTGTGGTCAGAGCCCCAGCTCTGTTCCCAGCACATGAGGTCTAAGGTTTAGACTCTGATATATCCTACGACTTAATAGACAGTGTCTGGCAGACACAAGATTGTTTAAAAAAATCACATATAACCAATATAGAACCAAAGGTTGTAGCTAAAAGAAAAAGAGAACACTGGCCATGATAAGCAACAAACCTGAAAAAGTCAACATAAGGAAGGAAATCCATTAACAAAACCAAACATGCATATATAAAATATACATATAAAACACAAACCCTAAACTCCTAAAGGCTTAAACTGCATAGGTAAAAATAAAAATTCTGTGCAATATTTTTCTTCTCTTAAAGCACAAAAGGAAATAACCTTGCCTTAAAGTAATAGTTACCAAATAATGGATTCACCAATCAATAGATGGAAAGAACTTCAATATTTTGGCTAGCTGATCATGATTGGGGGATCTGAAATGTATATGCAAATTAAAAATATGATCATGAGATCAAGTTCACTCCTAGCCAGTCAGAAGCATTGGACCAGTAACATTCCCATTTTGAAAATTCTGTTGCTGTAACACTTTGTTCAACAAGCACAGATGGCCTTATGCATTTGGCACCTTCCAAAGAGATATTAACCAGGAATGAGCCTCAGGATTTCATACCAACAATATGTACCCTTCTCACAGAAAAAGTTGTGAGTGGGTGATGCACTGCTATGTTTTTGAACATACTATCTCCCTGACCATTCAGTGTCTCCAGAAAGCTTCCATGCATATACAGCTAAGAATTCTGTATATCAGAGCCACATAGGTAGAAGAGTCTTTCCAAGTTATTGGGAAAGATTCGCACAAGTAGCCCTGCACATCTGGTTCCAGCATCCACACACATACACAGCAGTGACATGTAATCCACCACAGTAAAGTATCCCACAATGTGGCACATAATTATGAGCAGGCCAAAGAAATGGGATCCAAACCGCTTGATCAGGAAGATATCACATTCAAATAAGCCCTGGCTGGCATCTGACTTTCTCCAAGCAGTAATGAGAAGGATAGGAGAATCACAACAAGCCTGAAACTAACTCCAAGTTAAAACTGTCTCACTAAAATGTAATGAGCAGATAAGGTCCAGACTGTGGGAAGTTAACTGGTAGCATCTCCTGCTCAAGGCTTATGAAAATGAACACCACCATTGCAGTGCATTTGCACACTTTAATTCATCTCGACAGAGCTTGTGTAGGAGACACTCTCAGTGTCCTGAGGTCACCATTCCTAAACCAACTAATGTGTGTCTCGTTCTGTTGCAGATCAACAGAAATAATCAAGTGATTCCAGGGCTCTATCCCAGGGACTTGTGCCAACTTAGCAAGCTATAGCGTTACACACTCTACTTGCCCTCTCTAATCAAAGAGATACAAATAATTAGTTTAACGTTTCATCAAAGGTCAGGAAAAAACAACAACCATCAAATGAAAAGTATGAGCAAAGTGAGCTTAAGCAAAGATTCTACAAGAACTGTACCTAAGCTCTAAAAGGTCTTACAGAAGAATAAGAAGCTATCCTGAAACCGCAGTTTGGTTAATCTTGCTCCTTTGTTGCCTTTTCAAGATAATACACATTTACCAAATGACGGTTCAGGTGCTTACTGTACTCGCCTTCCTTTTTAAATGAACGATCACAGAATATACACACATAGTTCTCCTTTGCGGCCTTGGCTTCTGCCACTTCTTGGGATGGTTTCTGACTTGTTTTCTCTTGTGCCGTCCGAGCACCATTTAACCCAGAATCATCACTGCCTTCTGATATGTTGTCACTGATATCACTGCCATCGTGACTGTGGATCCCCTCGTCTTCTTCCATTTCCTGATTTTCACTTGCTACTGTGCGACTGGGTGATACGGAAACCAGGTCTGCTTTAGTGCTCTGCTCTAACTTCCCTGGCAGCTGTGATGGTGGAGTGCCTACTGGGTCTTCAGCTTGCAACTGGTTTTTGCAATTATCATCTTCTGGGTTTGCACTATGAGTTACTATCTCACATGCTGGCACTGGCTGAACCTCTTGCACTATATTTGCTTTCACAACTTCCATTTCACAAGTCTGTGATGTCTGAATATCTTGGGCCAAATCTGGTAAACTGTTTTTGAGTACCTCTGTTTCTTTTTCCAAGATGACATCAGAGTCCTTGGAGCTGGTCCCAGGTACAATTTCCAGTTGCATTTCAACTTCATTCTGAGAAACAGCTTTTGTGGTCTCTTCTGCAATGGGCATTTCCTGATCTCTCACTTCTGGCTCCATGTTCTGGGCCACATGTTGTGCAGGTGGTGGCTCCTGATCCTGTCTGTTCTCTCCAGGGTCAAATTGACTCCCACCATCATCGGGCGCAACAACGGGCTGCTGCACATTGCAGGAACCAGATGGCTTACTTTCTCCCCCTTGCATAGTAGGACATTCTTTATGAACCAATTCCTCATCTGTTATCTTCTCACAATCAGGCTTTTTGTTGTTGCCACTAGACTTAGTCTTTAGATGCTTCTTTTTTTTGTTTTTCTTAAGGCAAGAATTTTGCTTTTTGGTGACCTCCAATTTGCTTTCACCTTTTTGAGAGTTCTGGCATTTGGGGGATTTTTTCTCTGTTTTCTTTTTCTTTTTCACTACAGGATCAGTGTCTGTTGCAAAATCTTGCATAAAAGGAACAGAGTTGGTCTCTGCTTTTCTTTTTGTCTTCTTTGTTTTAACATTTTTCTCAGTTGTTTTCTCTGTTTTCACATATGCTTCTTTGTTTTCAGCCACGGTCTTGCGACTTCTAGTTGTAACCTGGCCTACACCAACATTACCAGTTAGCTTCTTTTCTTTTGACAGATTCTCTTTCTTTTCCTCTTTTACAGCTCTCTCGCTTTTCTTTTCAGTCAATTCCTTCTTTGTTTGTTCTTGTTCCACTTTATTATTATCACCATTAATGCTATCAGACGTGTTCACTTCACTCTTTTTAGTCCGTAGTCTTACTTTGGAAACATCCATTGTGATGTCACAACAGTCAGGATGTCTGGATTTGATGTGATACTGCAAGTTACATTTCTTAGATGCAGCATATTCACAGACAGGGCAAAGGAACTGCCGTGGACTAACATGAAGCTCAACATGCTTCTTGAAGTTGCTTCGGTCAGCTGTTTTGTAGTCACAGTGAGGGCAAGCCAGAGGTTTGGGTCCATCATGAACCTGCCTTGCATGTCGAGTCACTTCATGCTGGTTTGATGCCACATAGCTGCATTGTTCACATTTAAATGGCTTCTCACCTGAGGTGAAGGAGAGGGAAATTGTCAGTGATTACACTATACAAAGCACATTAACTTACTTGCAAAGCTACAGATATAGAGTTCATGCTTTTGTACTTCTTAAATTTAAAAGTTTCTTGATTTTACATTAAGCACATTCACAATAGACACCAACAAAATACAATAAAGGAACAAAAACAAACATGCAAGCAATAACTAAACCACACGTTTCATCTATGATAAATACATACCAGGAGAGATCACGCTACAGTAATATTACCAATTGGAATCCAAACCAAACTGGTCCATTGAAGGCAGTGCAGAAAAATGGAAATTACAGATGAATAGTTGTCTTACACAGAGATTACACCACATCCCATACCCCAGATTCAATTATACTCACACAAAAGTCAAATGTTTCTGTAGTGCTAGCCCTTCACCCAACATAATACATAGTTTCATAGTTCAAAGCATTAAATCTGAGTGTGAAGCAACAAGAAAAATAGAAATCTGCTGTGGCAATTCAGTTTTAAATTAGGGAGTCACCACTAGCTATATCAAACATAACAAATGATGAGGGATAACAGAAATCGAGGACCAAAATTTCTGAAGAGCCACAGGTTGACCACTGCTTTTTGACACAAAATTAACTAAGTAAATTAAATAAGCAGCACCTAGAAAACAATTCTGCAGATAAAATTAATTTATTCTGGTAAACTGTCCAACAATCAGATTATCCAAAATCACATTTAGCTGACTGCATTTTTGTCTCAACCAAAGGATGCCACCCATCTAAAAACCCATGGGCTGTTCTGCACAAGCAGATGTGCTGCTTGTAGCACACCTGCCTCTTCCACTTAGAGCGGAATCCTCAACAGTCACCTCCGTAGGCTATGCAGCTGCCATCTGAACCCAGACCCTGTATTATTTGGCGACTCAAAAACCAACCAGTTAAATCAATAACAAGCTATGGATTAACTCCAACAACCTAAAGGGTCATGCAGGCAAGCTACATGCCCCTATTTTCCCCCATGTTTTTGCTTTCAGAAGCTGCCTCCTTTCCCTGTTTCCCTTCAGTACCTGTTCTAAACACAATTTAGGGATCAGACATGAGACAATCTAAAGGAAATCCAACAGAAAATATTGTACTATTGTACATACTAGCAGCATCCTTTCAAATTGCTCTTGTGCCTCATCCCTAAAATGTTCCATGAAGCAAGTTGCACTCAGGGAAGAAGCCCACAGAGTGCTGAGGCATTCTATGATTTTGACAGCTTGGATCTGAAAAGATATTGTAAGAAAGCATGACATGCAGTAAGCATAAGCTGCCAGAGGTTGAACATTGTTCAGAATTCTAGCTACTGTGAAGCATCTAGACTAATTCTAGTTTAGATTTGGGCCTGGTGCTGGGAACTTGGTACTTAGTTGTCCTGCCATAGAAGTCTATAAGATACGCTCTATGGGATGGGACTCGAGCACTGTACTTCAGTGGTTCCACTCCTACTTATTGGTCAATCTCATAAAATGGTGACAGTTAGCAGCAGTAGTAATAATAATTAGTAGTAGTATTAGTTAGGGTGGTCTGATACCAATGTTCCAAAGTCCAACAGAGGACTTGAAAACTGGGCTAAAGAACCAGTTAAATACTGGCTGTCCTTATAGTCGTTTTCTCCCTCGAGAACTATTTCAACTGAGGAATTATTGTTATTTCCAACTGTGTATTTTCCCTCAACTTATCCCTGTGAAAAATCCTTTTTTAAAAGAAAGCTGCAAAATTTCATATTCTTGTAAATGGAGCAGGATGCACTTCCTCCATTCCTGAGCACTAAACTGTCTCAGGAAAGGATGGAAGAGGGGGAGGGCACCAGCAACTGTAAGGTCTTTAGAACTAGTGGAACTTGTTGCAAAGTAGGGTGGATAAAACTCAATTATTAAAAAATAAAGTTTTTAATGGTTTTTATTTGAAACAGATTTGATTTTTTAAATAAAATGCTTTTTGAGGAAAAAATATATTTAAAGATAGTTTTCTACTGAAGATACATTATAGTCCAAAGATCATGAAATAAGGATTAGTTTTAATTATGTAGCATGAGGCTGTATATTCATGCAATGTTTTTTTTTTTTTGGTAAATTTATTTATTCACATTATGAATACGAATTCATATTATGAAATGAATTCCATTAATCCATTCACAACATCATGCTTTTCCAGAGGTTTCTGTAAAATTATTGGGCATTTTTCTATCTAGAACGTATTATCAGAGATGTTTGGTTTTGAGAAAACTGTGAATTTGTGTCTGCAAAGATTCATCTGCCATTTCTTCACAACAAAAATGTTCCAAAATAAAGAGTTGAGAAAAATACCTTAACTGCCTTGTTCCTTTGCAGATCTATCTACACAGAATCAAGCTAGTACCTTTTAAGTGCTATGTTTCAAAAGATTCTATGAATAGAAGAGGATTGTTGGGAGTGGAATAGACCTGCACAATAAGCTAAGTGTGAGAAGGGAGGGGGAAGCAGTAAAAATGAAAGTGAACCCTTTTGAGCCGAATGCTCCACAAGTCTTTGAAACTTTTTGTGGTTTATCATAATATTCTTTCTGTGGAGGAGAAAACCTATAAATCTGTAATGGCAGTCACCTGTATGAAAATACCCAGTTTGGGAATATTTTAATGAAATTCCTCTACCTATGGGTAAGACAGGTCATGCATGCAAATTATGTAGAAATCCATGATTTAAATCTAGCCTTACTGACTAGTGATTCAAATCATAATTTAAATTGATTTAAGTTCTATCCACTCTGATGCAATGAGGGTGATATACTCATTACCATTTTTCACAGGAAAAGATCTTTTCATGGCTTTGCTTTTCACTTTACAGCTTGCTATTTGCAAGCTGTAAAGTGAGAAGCAAAGTAACAAAGTAATTTATTTGCAATCTCATTTGGTCAATGCCTATGACTGGCATCAACTGCACTTTGACTGCAGATACTTACTATGGCATTGAAAGATATTTCTGAATTATAAAAATGTTTGCACACATTTCTGGTACCAAAAAAATACTTTGAAAAAGGTGATGAACTAAGGATGTGTGCTTCAATGTGAGGTGTTGTCAGTGCCTTTCACTAGCAGAGAGTGGAAAAAGATCTCAGAAGGAAAAAAAGGAAAGGAGGTGACCGAAAATGAGTTGTCAGTAGAGCAAGGAAAGGAAACAAGGAAGCTTCAGCCACCAAGTCCCCTGAGATACCTACTGGTCAACTGAGGAAGAAGAGACAGCCCATAGTGAGCCCAATCATGTGCCATGTGCATTATGGATTGTTCCATGAACAACACACAGTGCATAGCTTATTAGTAGGTTGGGTTGCTGCAAATTCACCTGATGAATGACCACTATTAAACTTATTTAATATTTAACAGCAATAACACAATACAACCTGCCAACTCAGCCCATGTACTACTACACTGCTACCATGTAGTAACTCACCTACAGGTGGCTTCTGGTGGAGACCCACTGAAGGTCATATCTGGCCTGCAGACTTAACAATGCTTACCCTGCACTGGTATATTAAGCATGTAGCAAACATAGCCACCAGAGCTCTTTTGAGTGGCTCTTTCACCAACCTGAGTGAGTGCGCATGTGCCTGGTTAAGTGAGTCTTCTGAGAACTTGAATAAGGACACATAGAACAACAATAAGGACGTTCTCCTATGAAAAAAAAAAAGAGAACAAAGCATTATATTAAATTGTTGTTTGTTTATTAGATACATATACACCCAAATAATACAAAATAATCCACAACTGAGCATAAAACATAGTTAAAATATTAAACATTAAAATTACAGAAGAATAAAAAGGTCTTGACCTAGCACCAAAAAGCATATAACGTCGAAGCCAGGCGGACCTCTCTGGGGAGTGCATTCCATAGCCAGGGCAGCTCCGCAGAGAAGGCCCTCCTCCCCCAAGTATGTTCTCTCCTAACCTCCTTCAAGGAGGGTTCCCGGATAATAGATCACATTGTCTGTCATAGTCCAAACATATAAACAAGTGGGCAGTTTTATAAGAAACAAGGTAGAAAAATACTGTTTCATGCTAGACCAGGCCTAAGAATATTGCTGTAAACATTTTACTCCTGTAGTCCAATATATCTGGCAAATAGTTATAATATTGATTATACTTTTAAAAGTTGACTTCTTTCACCTTAAGACTAACTCTCCTCTAGAAATATGACTGTTGCCAGGTGTATATGATTAAAGGCAAATAATCAATGGGACTTAAGACAATCATGACTAACACATGATTGGATGCACCGACTTTAGCACATCTTCTCTTAGCATGATTAACTCTGCATCCAACCAAAAAAATTTCCATTAAAAACTATTTTCATCTATAATGGTGTGACTGGATTCGTTTGCACATAATGAACAACCCACCATTAACAAATTATAGTTTGTTATATGGCACCTGACCACTCACCCATTTTCAGTTTGCTGAACTACCCAGAGATGCCCCATTATGTATGAATCTGATACTCTGGATTGTTGGAAGAAACCCAGAAATATAAGCAAAGGAAAAGATGTTGGTTAAATCATGTGAACCAGGACACTGATTTACAATTTGGAAAGAAAAAGGTTCAGATAATTTTCAGACAGAAAATAACTGTCACAAGCTGTATGCTAGCAGTGTGCATGTGTAATTTGTAAGCATTTAAGTGGTTTATACTTATTATATTTCTAATGTTTACAACACCACTACAAGCCAAGTCAGTATTTATGTATTTATTTACTAGATTTATAAACTGCACCCAATAGTCCCACACAGGACTCCCTGGGTGGTATTATTCGAGTATTGCTGATGAAAAGTAATGGCTAGCCTGAAGCTGCTTAGTTAATTCATGACTGATGCAAAAATTAAATAAGGGGATTCCTGATTCATATTCTCAGCCAGACATCCACAAAATCCAATAATCAGAAACAAATATATCTGGTTTTCTGACAAGCATTCCACCACAACCACCACTACCTCCAACTGGTTCTAATTTCTGCAGCAGTCCAAAGAAGATAAAGTATGGCAGCACCCTTTCCCACTGTTTCCAACTTTCTCCAAGCCACAACACATACACCACAAATTTCAAATTCTCCCTCAAGTCCCCCACCACACTTAGAAGACTTGAGGCTGAGTTCGTTCAGATCTGAACTGACAGTACAAATCAGGAATCTACCATTTTCACCTGGCTAAGCCAAAATCTGTAGTTGGCCACCCTACCTACCCTGATCTCCAGGCAACCTTCCCCACCCAGGTCATTAATCACATGGTTTGCCCTTGTGTATAAGATACTTCTTCCTGCAATAGCCAGAGCATGGCTCCCAGATTTACTGAACTCCATTTTATGCTAGTTCTCAAATGTACTACTTCTAATATTAATCCTTACACATATGATCAGTAAGAGTTAAAAAAGAACACTTCCATTGTATTTACTTTAGAAGTCCTTTTGCTAGGATATAGCTTTTACACAGGGCCAAACAATGCATGACATTAATCATGTGGTTTGCCCTTGTGTACAAGAATTTTTTTCCTGAAATTCAGTACAAGGCTTCCAATTCAGACTAGAGCCTCACCAAGGAGTAACGAGGTTTGGGCCATTTGCCTCTTGCTGCAGTTGCAAAAGCAACTTGGGCTTAACATTCTGAGTTTACAAATTCCCATTCATCTCAATGAAACATTTTACTTATGCAAAATGCAGTTGAAGCCTCCTCAATCTGGACTACAGTGGGAGGACTGAAGTCTTCCCACTCTGCCCACAAACAAAAGGCTAAAGGCTCCCTTACTCCTCCACTAGGATTCTGATCCAGGTTGAGTCCCACAGTGACCATTTCTGAAAGAAAAATTCTGCACACAAGGACAAAACATTTGATTAAATGTCACGTTGTTTGGCCCAGTCTATCAATTTCATTAAAGCAGCAAAGAACCAAAGTGACTAAACTTACGGTTTATTTCAGTCTTCTTCAATGTGGCATCTTCCATGTGTTACAACTATAACTCCCATTAGTTCTAGCCAGCATGGCCAATGCTTAGGGATTGTGGAAACTGGAGGGCATCATGCTAGGGAAAGCTCATTTATCTACAACATGGGGACATCTCTTTTCTCTCCTTCCTCTTAGGTCTCACTTTTAGTGTTACCACTTATTTGGTGTCTGCTTCACATATTTATTTTTTAACAAGCACACTGAGACTTAGCTTTTGTTTAGTAAGTCACTTAATACAAATATAAACATCACAACAAGGAAACAAACTCCACATATAATTCAACTATTCATTACATGCTCACCTTCTAATGAGCATTTTATTTATACATCGGGAAAATATATTATACTTAGAAAAAGATTCTTTCTTAAGGTATAAGTAACAATGACTAACCTGCTCTTGTGCCCTGTCCTTTAAGGGTTTTTATACAAAGAAATTATCATGTGAAGTTTCTCCTGGCTATATAATATTCCTTTTTAATTTCTGCAGTTCAAGCTACTAAAGGATTCAAAACCCAACCATGCAAGCAGAATTCAGGTAAAGGGGAGTAAGATCACTTTCCTGCTGTTTCTACAGAATCCTATCTGCCAGCTCTGGTAACAATAATAGGGTAAAGAATTGCTGAAATTATTTTAAAAACCCTCTACAACTCAGTAACAACTAAAAACAGAATTTGTTTCTTCTGTGTATAGAATTGTCTTCCATCTTGAAAGGACTTTCCACCTGAACAGTGGTGGCTGAACACGATTTATCAACCTAAAATCTGAACGAAAATGTACAATGTGAAGCTGCAGTTTCTATGAATCAATAACATATTATTTGTAATTAGTATACAACAGAAAGACCACTTAACAACAACTGTAGGAAGAAATCCTTGTACAAAAATAGTTTATATGCTGCCTGATTCTATATGTACAGTCAAGTGCTGTTTCACCATTGCTGCTATCCTGGTGGCTAAAGCACTAGCCTCTGGCTGGAAAATGAAACACTGCTAACAGGCTTCCTCGCTTGCCAAAAGAACCCTTGTAACAGAAGAAAGGTACAGTGGTCCAAAGGCCAGGAGGTGGCTACATGGTCCCAATAACCCTTGAATGCCACCTGGGCGAGCAATGCTACAACTGCCTAAACTGCTGTCTCTGTAGAATACCATCGAGGGCAGGAACCCATCAGCAATTCAACATAGTGCTGCATTAACACCAGGCCTTGGTCCCAATAGCAAGGGCAAGATCAAGTGCAGTAGTATTAGTTAGTTAGTCAGTCAGTCAGTCAGTCAGTCAGTCAGTCAGTCTTTCTTTCTTTCTTTCTTTCTTTCTTTCTTTCTTTCTTTCTTTCTTTCATTCAGGAGACTTCTATGCCGCCCCATTCGCCGAAGCCTCAGAGCGGCTCACATCCATAAAATAATATAATATAAATTAACAGTATAAATTAAGTCACCCTGGCCAAAGAATAAAATGAATAAATACTATTAACAATTAAAATGACATTTTTATAAAAAAGTCTTCACCTGGTGCCAAAAAACAAAAAACGACGGCACCAGGCGGACCTCTCCGGGGAGCGCATTCCATAGATTGGGCGCCACCACAGAGAAAGCCCGCCTCCGAGTACTCACCCTCCTAATTTCCTTCACTGTGCGCTGTACAGACTTTCATAAACAATTGGTCTGCATTTCATTGAACTTACAATCTAAATTTCAAGGTGAACAATGGCAACTAAGGATGGCTATCGGCAAATGCAGTTATACAAATGCAGCTTGCTCTGATTGGGAATAAGAACTACTGGATTTTAAGATTTGGGGGGTGCCAGTCATTTGGGAAATGCAGATCTGTCATTATAAACTGATCATCCACTGGTGCTAGGTCCTTTAAGCCTGATTATACCAGCTGTTAGAGCTCACAAGTTTGGAATGTTCATTGACAAATGAACAAAATAATATTACAACAGACCTGCTGGATCAAATAAAACCCTATCTCAGCCTTCTCTACTACAACTTCCATCATTCCAAGTCATTATGGTCAAAAGTGGCCTATGTAGATACGTATTCTGTTCCCGACAGCGGCCACACAGATGCCTAGAGGCAGCATGCATTTTTTAAATGAAGACAATTTAAATCAAGAAGAAAATTTTTAATTTAAATCAAGTTTCCCATTAAACTTTTTCATATATTTTCTGAAGAGTGAACAAAATTTGACCCCTAAGCCAAATTAATTTATGATCAAATGAAATACTATTTACATCTTGGGAACTTTTGTCTCACTTCATACATTTTGCATGCTTTCTTTTTTACATATGGAAAATGTATTTAAAATATTCCCATATAGAGAATTTCTCACGACTAGCACTCATAACAGTTTCATAGCACAACTGTGCCAAAATAAGTTCCTTTGAGTTCAGTGAGACTTACTCCCAGGCAAGTAGGTAGAGGCTTGCAGACTTAGTATGAAAATACTGGAACACAAATGCTGAATATCTCTTTTTCTTTCCTGTGTTGTTCCTTTACTTCACATTTTAAGTTCACACTTAAAGACAACTTATGGATTAATAATGAAGATAATATATAGCCAGTTTCACTCCCAGTTGACTATAGCCTTTTCTTCCATGACTGGAGACAGTTCCCATGATCACTGAAGCTTGTTTTTTCAATATTACCCTCTGATGGGGAGTGGCCATGGTTTATCAAGTCATCTGAACTTGAACAACATCAGTTGTGTGAGGCTAAAACAACCACAACAAACCATGATAATCCCCACTCCTACTGAGGGTTAAATATTCAAAATGGCCACTAGCATGCTTTAAATAAATACAAATACCTGCATATCCTCTCTTTCTTTCTTACAAGGAAGTGTGTTGGTCCTGATCTGGACTGGGACCACTCACACAGGTAGCAAGATTTAAGACTTCTATTGCTTTCCTAAATTCAACTTCCCCGCAGCGCACACACAAAGACGACCAAATAAAAAGCTACCACTGGCATGAGCTGAAGCTTGCTCTTTTTTTTTTTTTTTTTGGGGGGGGGGGGCAGGGAATTTAGAAAAACAAGCAACTACCCAGACAAGTAAGTACATGGGCCCATACTGGGTATGTTTAAAAAAAGAGAGAGGGTAAGCAGCACACTATACATTAGTGTGCTGTGTATTTCAGCCATCATATAAATCATTTCTGATAGCATTTCAAAAGCACAGTTAGCTTCACATATCAAATTTACTTCTGGTGGTTCTGGCAATTTTGTTATTTTCCTTTTCTGCATTTATGTAAAAAAAAATTCTCCCACATGTTTTGTGAGGGATTTACACAAACAACTAGAAAAAGGCTGAGCAAAGGAAAACAAATTAGCTGACTGTGCAAAGTATTTTCAAAGCACAAACCATCATTGTTCCCTTATTAGGGTTAATTTTCAAAACATAAATATATACTTGATTGGAATAAGTAACTCAAAATTGAGTTTACCTAAAATGTAACAAGATACATCTGTACTTTCCAATGTGAATGAATGCTAAATCAGAAAACAAAACAACACTAAGTAGTAGAGCCTGCCCATTAGTGTTTATAGTACTGGCATTAATATCATTCCCAACAGAATAAGCAAGATACACAACAGAAGTAAATTTTCAATAGATCCCAGAGAAACACTTATGAATTAGGCATTTATCCTTTTAAAATAGCCTAAAATTTTCAGGTCTAAGTGACAACATGATAAGGAAAGTAAGTTTCCTCTATAAACTTCAATTAAAATCAGAGGCAGTTTAACTTTCCTATAAGCTGTTATGGAAAAAGCCCTATAAGAACATGAATTACTTTAATGGATCACACCAGGGCTTGGCAAGTCCAGCTTTCCATTTCTGACACTAGTCAGGAGGCTATCTCTGAAAGTTCACAAACCTGATGAAAACTGCCATCCCCTGTTGCTTGTTAGGTACATCTTGTATTTAAGAGTATCTCTGAACAGAAATATTCCAATTAGCTTGTCACAAGTAATAGCTGTTGACAAATTTAGCCTTCTCAAAATGACCTGATCCTTAAACCCATCTCCCTGAATTTAGAAACCATTACCAAAACTTGCACTCTGAAAACTAACTCAAAATGCAACTCACTATATCTACCTTAAGTCTGTATTCTACAATCTGACCCAGGGTAAAAGGCAAAAATTCTTCCAGAATAAAGTGATTCCAGATTGAAGCTTTTCATTCTAATCAATATTTGTACACTTTCATTTTTACTAAGTAAAAAAGTTCATAACCAAGCCATGAACAAATCAAGCCGAGTACTTCTACAACACTGCAAACTCAGATACCAAAGGACAAATCTAGCTTTATTCATAGTGAACTGCAGTACAGAGCAGTAAATTTGAGTAAAACAATCAGAGCAATCTTAAAAATTAAGAAAATCGAACTAGGTATTTTTTGTTCAATTAAAAAATCATTTTAGGAATAGGATTCTCTCCAATAGGTAAATTTGCTAATATAGCAAGAGTAGACATACAACTATGATCAATTCAGTTTAATTTTATTTTTTTATCCAAAAGCCATAGCATATGATCAACCCAAAATGTTGGCTGCAAAGCTGGTTGTTTAAAAACAGGAAATGTTAAATCTCTAAGCACAATTTCTAATAAGACATTGTACAAGTACAAATATAATCAATTCTACTTAACACAAGCTCACTAGTCAGTCTATTATACCCAGACACAAGGAAACATACCACTCACCTGTATGTGTTCGAATATGTTGAACATAGTTGTTCTTCCGGTCTGAGAAGTAGGAACACTGTGAACATGTGTATACTTTCCGTGGAAAATGGTTTCTTAGATGCTTTTTCCAATGATATTCACTGACTGTTGTATATGTGCAGATGGTGCATTTGTAGACCCTCTCATTTTCTCCTGCTTTGTTGTGGTGTTTTAAGTGAGCCAGATAGTGATCGTACCTGTTAGTGTTGTAGCCACAGCGATCACATCTTATCGGACCCTTGGAGAAATCAACCTCATCTGTAGTGCTTGAGTCAGTTTCTTTAGCCTGGCCATGCTTCTCAGCTTTTTCTTCTACAATGAATCTCTTGGCACTGTGTACCCGAATGTGATGGACAAACTCTTTCTCTGATTCTGCCTCATACTGACACGGCTTACAGTGAAATGGCTTGCTTTTCAAACTTTTACATTTGTCACCTACATTCTCAGGGACAACTGCCATTTCCAGTGGGAAGCCTTTGTCTGGGCTACAGGTATGAGGAACAGAAGACTCTGTCAGCCCTTCAGTTTCCACATTACGAACCTCAGGAGCTCTAAGGGCTCCTATATCCATATCCTCCAGGCCTTCACAGGCGGGTTCCACACCCTGTGCATCATCAATTCCTTCTCCATCACTGTCTGAAAAGTTGGTATTGCCTACTGTTGTCAGTTCAGCCATTTGCCTTTCTTCACCAACCATGTAATCACAACAGCTGCCATTAACTTCTCCTGTAAGCGCCACATTTGCCAACATAATAAGTTGAGGAGCTGCCAGCTCAGCTTTGGAAAGTTCAGGGAAGTCATACATATCGTTTGACAATGACATGCCAAGGTTATTACTGCCAGAAAACAGGCTGCTGCCACCAGACTGCCCCAGCACTTGCATTGCCATTCTAACAATTCTGTTTAAAAAGAAAGAAAGAAAAGTGTTTTAGAGCTGCACACTTATGAAAATGCCAGTTTATAATATCCTTAGTTGAGAACACTTCAAATGACAAAAACAGTTTCATCAAATCAAAATTTTTAACTGTGCAGTGTAGGCACTTCCAATTGGATTCCCCCTGCCCCCAGGCTCCTCCACAAAGCTAACTGACTTCAACTGTCCTGTTAGAAAGGAGGAAGAGGAAGACAGACCAAAAAGGAATACCAGGCCTACTCTCTGCCCTTCTCCAGGGAGAGATGGGAAGCAAAGCTATTCCTCTTCCCTCCCCATCTCATTTTGTTCATGTGATAGAACTTTTTAGATTCTGAGTCTGCGGAAGGGGCTGTCTTTCTTGCTGATTGTTTAGAAGCCACTTCAGGTGCCTTTTTAAGATAAAATACTTCAAATAAATGGATAAACAATAAAGCTGATAACAAGAACAGCACTAAAGGCTCACTGTATTGAAGTATTTATTGTAATTCATTAATATTTATTATAAATAATTCTGTATAACTTACTTGAAATTTAATTGTTGCTTCATAAAAATTAACAGTCTTTTGAGGGAAAGTACTAATCAGAATCACAGAACCCTCTCTTACAGTTCTGTCAAATAAATTTTAAATATTTTATTACTTTTGGACTACATAACAGAGAAATGCAACAGGATTTATAAAATCACTTTTGAATCATATCTTGGAAAGAAAGGTCTAATTTATTGAAAGTCTGAAAGTAGAAAGCCAATACAAGGATATTTAGTTGTGTAATTTTATAATCCATCACTCACTGATAACAGCAGTTGAACAATGCTTTATTTTTTCCAGAGTAACTAGTCTCTTTTTATCACATGAAAAAATTATTTATACAGGATTGTTTGTCTAATAATTCAACACAAAGACTGTCCCCTCAGGAGTAGACCTAACTTTCAGCACTACAATTGAGAAAAAGAGAAAACCATGACAGCAAAGACTAATGACACTTCCATCTATAAACTGCCCAATATACCTAATTTCACAATACCAATATCTTCTAAGCCAAAGCATTTAGTCAACTGGTCACAGCGTGTTATGCCTATGCAGGGAAGTCTCTGCCAGGCAAAGAGTTAACTGGGTCTCTTAGAAGGGATGGGGGGGGGGGGAGAGAGATAGGGCAGTGCTGGTGCTTAGAATTAACAGAAAACTTAAGGTCATGGCTGAGTAAAGGTCACAGAGCAGGGCTGAGTGTGTAGGTATGCATGTACATACAAATGAACAGGGGATGTCACATAGAGACTGTGTGTTGCTGGTGTGAATGGAGTGTCTGTGTACATCTGCCTGCATATATAATTAATGGAAATAAGTTGCCAATTCCCAGAAGGCAAGCTCTCACTCCAAAGAACTATCACTACTGAGTTTCAGCAGCGCAATTATTCATCTGGATTAAAAATCCCATTTCATAAGCATGTTTTTGGTAAAGGCATCCTTTTACTACTACCTACCCATATTCCATATATTAATAACAATTAAAGTGCATTAAAGGCAGACTAGACCACCTTGGGTGTCTTGACTATACATTCTTGAGAGAGGAAAGTAGCAGAATGGACTCCCATGATGCACCATATATTTAAGTACATAAGGCCGGCTTCACAGTATCAGAACAAAGGGTCCATCTAATTTCAGCATTATGTGTTGAACAGTGACCAGACAGAAGCCTCTGGGAAGCTTGAGAACAAGATATGAAAGCAGTAGCCCAGCCCTGATAGTGTCTGAATGGTTACTGGATAAGATCAACTTGTAAAATGATGTTCACAATGTTTTAGAAGGCTGCATTGGGCCTTACTTCCTGTTATATTGCTTAACAGTTCAGTCACTACACAAAACTTTTCAGGAGTCAGATGTCTGAAACCCCTGTCCATTTTGAACAGTTACTCTTCCTTCTGGAGCAGCAATTTCTTATATGCACAAATAAACAAGGCACTTAGGTACCCTACAATAGGTTAGCATGTAAACAGACTCACTCTGAATTAATTTGAACTACTTCTAAACCAAATGTACCCATGTAATACAAAGATTCATAACAAAATTGGGTGGTTATCCATGATACACATCTTTGTGTGATCAAGGATTTATTTCCAAACTTAAAACCACCATCACAACAAGAACAGATTTCCTCTGCTCAGGAATTGAAGATTCAGAACACATGCACACTTGTTCCTCAAGAACATAAGTGTGATGGTCAGGTTATATTAGCCAAACAACAGCAGGGGTGTGGAAAGATTTTACTTAAGGAATATGCCGTGGCGTTTTGGCCTATACTCAACTGATCCTAATAGCTAACATAACTCTGAACTCACTACAACAAGAGAAAGCAAGAAAAACCGAGTCAGTTTTAAAGTTTGCATGTTTTCAAATGCCAAATGAGGTATTTGTATCAAGCCAACAACTCTTAGGCCGTTCAGAGTCTTGCAGCCTGATCCTATGTTCATGTTTTCTAGGACGTTAATTCCCACTGAGTTTTTACTCCCAATGCAAAGAATGCAAAGGAATTGCAAGTTTAAAGCAAGAGATGTTTGGGAAAAAGTTTGCAATTTAAAAAAGCCCACGACTAAATTAATGTGTGCCATCAGCCCAACCACCATCGGCTGCTGCTGCATTCCAGAAATAGGCATTCGGCCATTTTCTAAAAACCAAGTAGCACAAAGCAGCTCTTTGCAAAACTCTTGCTGCAGCGCGCACACACATACAAACTCACCGAAGTCGGTGCTTCTGCTGCTCAAGGTCCTGTTCTCGTCAAACCCCCTTTTGCCTCCTGTTCACCCCCTCCCCAAAGTTTCAGTTTCCCACCAACTTTCCCTTATTGGGCTCCCAAAAAGTCAGCGAAAGCGAAGATTTAGCAACTTTTTCCCACCCATAGAGCCGCCGCCGCCGCCGCCCCCCCTCCCCCCCGCAGGCTGCAGAGAAGGCGGGGTGGGACGTTTCCTTTCTCTCCTGAGACAGCCTCCCCCCAACACGGCCAAGAAAACTATGGGGGAGGGGCGACCGGAGAGCTTGTTTAGCTGTTTCTCCAGTCTCTCCCCGCCCTCCAAAACCCCCCACACATACTCCTCTCCCCACGCCTAGTCCCGAACAACGAGTCTTCCTCAACTCTACCCTTCCCTCTCGAAGCATACAACGAGGTCTGGGCAAAGTGATGGGGTGGGGGGCTCCCACCGACTAAGGATCAGGAAGGGAGGGCGTCTGTAATGAAGCGGGGGAAGCCGAAGCCGCCTGCCTTCCCCTTCCAAGGAAAACGGGAGAGGGGGAAGGGGAGGAGAAGTAGAGGCCCGCTCACACCTCCGACCCACTTATCGGGAGGAGACGATGACTGAGTCTTGCTCAGCCCATCCATCCATTCAGCACCCCACGCACACACAGAGCTCAAGGTCACCCCCTCCCGAACCTCCAACTCACTTGTGATGGGGCCCAAAACCGGGAAGGGGAGGGCCAGAAATCGCTGTCCAGCTCTAACTAGGCGGCTGCTGCTGCTGCGGCCGCCGCTGAGGCCTCTTCTGTAAGTCCCAGCCCCGGAGGCGACGGCGGGGAAGGCAGCTTCTCCCTTCCAAACTTCCTTTCTTCCTGTTTGCCACAGCGAACTAATGGCCCGTTGGTGCTAGTGAGTTTCCCCGGCAAAACTGAGTCGTCTTTCTGGGAGGGGGGCTCCTCCAGGGACTTCCTTTCTTAGAGGCCCCGTCGCCAGCCACCTAGCCAGCCAGCCAGCCCTCCCCGCCAGCCTCGCTTCCCGCACCCACTTTCTCCTCCCCCTCCGCCGCCGTCCCATGCGCACCAGCAGCAGCCAGCCGCCTTCAGATCAGCCCTGGACAGCGCCACAAGCTCGCTCGCTCGCTCGCTCGCTCCCTCCACCCCTCTCCACCCCTCCCTCCAGCCACCACGACGGCACCCCGGTGCCGAGACACTCGCCTTCCTTTCCGCCCGCGGGATGGGCCACTCGCGCAGTGGAAACGAGTCAGGAGGCAGCGGGGCGACGAGTGCTCTTCCGACGACGATGGCAGCACTGCGAGGCGGAGGCGCGCATTCCAGCACTCACCACGCGCATGGCAGCGGCAACGGCCTGCCACCTCGAGGAGCGGCGGCCCCGCCCACCCCAGCGCGAGCCAATCGCCGCCCAGCCCTGCCCTGCCTTGCTTTCTCATGGCTTCCCGTCCCATTCCCTCGTATGCGCGGTCGGGATTCGCCTGGCTGCGGAACAGGCCTGCACGATCTGTAGCCCACCGAGCTAAGCGGCGCGACCGCCAGCAGCCATGTCGGGCGGCCTGCCGGATGTTTGGTAGCTCTGCCCTGCCCTCCGTTTCTCTTTTTACGGTTTCAGGCAAGCTGCAGAAACAAGTTTATGCAGCCGCTCCCTGGGAGCTGTCAGCTTATTGGGGTCACAAAGTCGTGCAGTCCCGCGTTTGATGACCCGCCTTCCCATTCCTCGCGCAAGCATTTCCTCACAGAATATAGCACATAGCGCCTGCTTCGCTCCCGCCATTCCTGCCTAGATAACCCTACCCAGGCACCACTTTCCAACAGCCTAGGTAGGTGCACGCAGTTGTGTAACTGCCCGGTACCACTGGATTCAGAAATCTGGAGGCTCCATTAAGGAAGTGACTGTGGGCAGATGTAACTTGGAAAATGGAGGATTGCAAACTAAAGGTTTATCTTAGACCTTGTGGGCCCTGTAAAATGTGAACAGCAGTTCTGCTGAGCTGATGGGTGTTTGATCCAACTTCAACACTTCCAAGAGCTGCATCTACTTCAGAAGTTCAAGAATTACCCTTTGTCACTCCAATAAGATTTTCTTCCTGAAACGTTCAGCCTGCACAGTTTCATTAAGAAATATTCATGCAGTCATTTCCTAAATCATAAATTGCATTTTTATGCTTACTCAACAGTAAACTCCACTGACCACGGTGGGATGTGATTCTAAACATATTGTTGTGAATTTCCTATCAAACCTCTATAAATAGGGCTGTAAGTGAACTGCCCAGAGTCTTAGCTACTGGGAGGTATGAAAATGTAATAAATAAAAGTAAGTGTGGTTTGCCTGGGGCAATACCAGGCCAGTGCTGACAAAAGACTGTTCATATGCTTGTAAAGTTCAAGAGGCAATACTTCTACTGAAGCTAAGATGGTCTGAGAAGTCTAGGTGATGGTTGTAGGAAATTACACATCTAGATATCTCATGTGTCTCCCACCCCCAGCAAACAGCTGGTACCTGTCTGTGAAAGGAAAATAACTGCAGCTTGAGTCAATCAGAGACAAAGCACAAATGAAAAGAGATGACTCCAGAATCTGTAATTATGTTACAGCTGTGAAAGGAAAATAAATTGCAGGCTATCTTCCTAAAGATCTGGTGTGGGAGCAGTGGACTTTGGCTGTCTTATTAGAATGTTTAGGTCATGCTTCTCCCTATGCTCAACTTGTTTATTTGCAAATATTACAAAATGCCAGTAGACCCCAGCAAAGTCCTTCCATTGAAAACCAACATTACATAAGCCCTACGTCCCTGAAACTTCACACCACCTGGTGAAACATGGTGCGCTGAACACTATTTAGGACTGTGCTGCACACAAAGAAAAGCTACAGCTCTTGGAAGTGATACAGCTCACTGGTGCCAATGGGAGTTTCCCTCCCAATGCAAATAGTAAGCATGAGCTAGATTGGGGCTGGGGGCAATTGCCTAAAATTTCTTCTCCCTCCTTGTCATAGTCCTATAGGTATGATATCCATACCATACCTAGTATGGCTGTAAGTTCTACTTAACAACAGGAAACATTCAGCACAATCCTTGATTATGGGAAAATCGCACTGAATTCAAAAGGACTTCAGAAGGGCTTTATACACATTTTAATAAATGTGCATAAAATTGTAGCACATGTGAGCTATGAACCAGAAAGTATATGACTCATGTTTCCACAGAAGACCCACAGGGAAACCAGGCTAAACCACTTAATTTGGATCATAGTTACTAAGGGTTACACAGGAAGCTCTCTCATGTTAAGTGAGACCCTGGTCCATGTAGCCCAGCATTGTAAATACAGATCTGTAGCAGCTGTCCTGGGTTTCAGAAATTTTTTCCAGCCCTACCTGGAGATCCTGGCAACTGGGCCTGGGACCTTCTGCATGCGAAGCCGGTGGTCTTTCACAGTCCCTCACTGAGAATATATATGTGAATCTATTAAGTATGCAACTCTTTGATGCACCGAAACCTCTTGGAAGCCGACAATCATCCTATGCTCACCATTGCCTCACCTCTGTCCTGATTTTAATTTAGACTGACATTTTGGCCATCTACATGAAGCTCCAGAGAGCAGAAGGTACAGGGGCTGGGGTGCTGATAGGAATGGGTATAAGGCCATGGCCCCAGCCCCCTCCCCTCCCCAGCCCACCCTCTTTCTCTCCTCCAGGGCACATTAGCAACCATGGGGGGTGGGAGGCAGCAGTCAGCAGTTTTTTCCATGCTGGCTGCAAGGGTGGGGGAGGGGCATGGCTGGTGTCAGGATCTCCAAACAATCCTAATACCATCCCCAACAATGTTGGGAAAACATGGGATTGCACCCTAAAATATTCTAGACAGCTGTATTGATGCTATGCAATATTTTGATTAATTTATTCCAAGTGTTTAGATATTTAGACGTTTTCTAATTAAAAGTTTCTGGTCACTATTGACTAAGTTTCTCTAATCCTAGAGAACACCGACAGATACACATATGGAAGCCAGTGAAGAAGCAAAAACCTATGAAAGGGAGAGCAAGGGAGCTGTAAGTGTAGTATCTGTATGTTTTAGGTCCCTTGAGACTTAAACTCAGAGCAGGAACCAGAAATATTTACTTTTAAAAGAGAGAACTCACATTTTCCTCTGATTCCCAGGGCAGAATAAAAGTCCCCTTTAACAGATTTTCATACATGTTTTGGTGTTTGCCACGACTGTTCTTTCCCCACTGAAAGAGCAAGCAACTGAGAAAGAGCCAAATGGGGGACATACACTTTAGCACAGGGCTTGGGGGAAGGCTGGAAACAGGCCGTGGCAAAAATAGCTTGTTTCTAGCTCCACATCTAGGGGTGTAACTCTCACCAAAGACTCTAAAGAGATTACTCCCCCCCCCCCAAAAAAACTCAACTCGGATCCTAAGATCTAGTAACTCTCACTGGCTGTCCAAAGGAATGGACTAAGAAGAGGGTCAAGGTTGAGAGCAAAAAGAAAATTAAAAAAGACTGGTCACAAAGGTGATAGGGACATGGCAAGCAGCTGTAGAGATGAGAAGTCACATATTGATTTGAAATAAGCAGCCATATTTTGGGGCACAGGCCCAAGATATAAAACTGGGTATATAAAATATTTTGGGGAAATGGTTAAAGGCCCTTTCTGAAATTTGCCTTAGAGACCACCAAAGGTAGGGGCTAACACAACAGTAGTCAGATTGAACTGGAATGTGAACTTCTAAACAAGTAAGATTGTTTGCTTTTTCTAACAAAATGCAAGCTAAAAATCATACAGGATGGTGGCATATCTGACTCTTCAAATGTGAGTCTGTCTCTCCCCAATTGTGCACAGAATGTGGGATGGGGGTCCAGATTTAAGAGCTGGGAATGGGAAATGTTACTGTGGGGCTAAACCTTGGCCCAACTTGTGGTTTCTCTCCCCAAAGCCTAGACCTAGGCACTTTACTCCCACTCCCTTTCTGTTGTGCTTTCAATGAAGATGTTTTCTACAGGATTTCACAATGTTCCACACTGGGTAAACCTTCTGTGGTGTACAAAGGGAGTGTGTGGGACAAATTGTCACTATTTATTTATTTATTATTTCAATTTGTATGCCACCAAAATAACCCATATCTGGGCTCTCTGTGCAGCTCACAATACATAAAAGCACACAACATTATATAATCAATAACATTCACTCAACATATTAAAAGCATATTAACAACATAATCCAACTATAAAACATAATATATCAAAATTAAAACATATAAGACATTAGAATAAGACTATTTAAATTAAAACCAACTAAAACCAGAAATAGGGTAAATTTACAACCAAATTACCATATGTACAACCAATAATAAATGGTTAAAATAGCCAGAGAAAAGGTAAGTCTTTGCCTGATGCCAAAATGCTAGCAGCAGATAGATTTGCCAGTGAGTACAGTTTCTAAATATTATAAGCCATGTCTCTCACATTTTGCAGAGTTTGAATGACCTTTCCTTTGATGGATTTTCTTCCTTCTGCAAAAACTTGTTTTTATCACTGGCATAATGGTGGGTATTTCACAGGTAAAAGTTAGGAGTGTGGGCACAGGTCTACTTTGTCTAGCTAGTGGGCCGCCCAGTCTACTTAATCATTGTTATCTTGGGGGTTTCAACCTGCTACTTGGGTTAGATAACAGAAACTACAAAGTATTTAAGTAGCAATCTTATGCATATTTAGACAGATAAAAAGCCTACAATTCCCTCATGCCCGGCCAGGCCTTATTTTGCAAAGGGCCTAAGCTTGCAAAGGATTGTGCCTCTGGAAAATTAAGCTTCACTAGAGTGTACTTCATCTAAAGAATGTGAAACTTTTTTGTAGCCACTTTACAATTTACTTATTTAATTACTTGGATTTATAAACTGCTTCCATCTAAAGATTTCAAAGCCATGTACACAAATGGAAACATTAAAAAGACCAATACATTCAGTATATCTTATGGGCAGAAGATGAT